TATTTGTAATGCACGTCTACCACTGTTAAGTTCCAGTCTAGGGTAATAACACTGCTTGTTTGCTATGAAATCCTATTTCTAATGCACGTCTACCACTGTAAAGTTCCAGTCTAGGGTAATAACACTGCTTGTTTGCTATAAAATCCTATTTCTAATGCACGTCTACCACTGTAAAGTTCCAGTATAGGGTAATAACACTGCTTGTTTGCTATGAAATCCTATTTCTAATGCACGTCTACCAGTGTTATTACCACATACTGGAACTATACAGTGGTAGACATGCATTACAAATAGGATTTCAAAGGAAACAAGCAGTATTAATACCCTATACTGGAACTTTACAGTGGTAGACATGCATAAAAAATAGGATCTCAGAGGAAACAAGCAGTGTTATTACCCTATATTGGAACTTTACAGCCATTAATCAGATGACAGTAAACTAGCGACTAAAATACTGATAGTAAGCAGTCAATGCAATAGTGAAATCCAATATAGTTTCAAGATTTTGTCCTTGATTCGAATCTAAAATACTGTTATTACCCTAGACTGGAACTCTATAGCAATTAATCAAAATTACAGTGTAGGTTTGGTTTGTAAATGTCTTACCTTTGAAGCGTTTTCTTGTTGAAATTATTCTATGAAATTTTGTCTTGGTTTTGTAGGTGGAGGTCAGTGTGTGGTGTTTGTTTTTGAAAGTAGATCAAGCTTGGTGGTGGTTATGGAGTTTCGGTTTCGAGAGATGAAGAAGACACTTTGATGAAGACGGTGACTGAAGGGACGTTTGGCAGAGATGGTTAATTGAAGTCACAGGCTGGAAGTTACGTTTTTGTTTTTCATTTTTTTGAACGAAATTATGGTTTTGGAGATGGTAAAATCTTTGGGCTTTTTTATAAGTTTGGGCTGGGGTTGTTTTGGGTGCTTTTTGAGTTTTTTTTCTGTTGGGCTTGATAGTGGCAGTGCTTGTAATTTATTGGAACTTCAACACTAATTTGTTATTTAATAAATGGATTTTGGGTGTGTTTATAAAGTGTTTTCCATATGGGGTTTTTTTTATAATTTCAGCACCCATTTTGGGTATATTAGTGAAGCTCCCAAAAATTTATTCCGCGAATCAAATATGAGATTTTGTTCTTTTATAATTAATAGCAAAACTTCAAATATGTTATAACTAAACATGTAACACCGCATTAAGTCAATCAAGCGGTCCGAGCACAACATGAAGTACAACTAAGCTGGCCTTAAATGTCTCGTCTGGCCCATTGTAGACCTAATATTAATAATAAGCAACATTTTGAAAAAAAGAAACAAAAATAAACTTAGACTAATTACAAATTTATATACACTAAATTATAATGGAAACGGATCAGAATGATAAAAAAAACTGTAACAGGAATGAATTTGAACAAGGCATTACCATAAAGTGCTTACAAGTAAAATCCTAAAATTGGAAAACGATAATACTCTTACCATATTTACATGCTTACTAACTTGTAGGAAACAAAACATTCTGATTTTATTTTTATTTTTTTTTGCCATTCCTAAAATGCTCTCTTGTACATAATCTTCATTCCGAGCAAGTAAAATTGTTTTTTTAAAAATTATAAAAGAAACCAAAGGTTACCAAAAATAATATTGATTGAAAAATTACATCCCCATTTGAAATGGGGACATTTTGGATATATATCAAGACTAAATTAAATCAAAAACGAAGAAGGAAACCGAAACTGATTTTGAGAGGTTTTCCTTGCCTAATCAAGTATATATCCCCTCAAAGGCGCTCTATATTTCTTCCTGTATATATATATATATATATCTCCTCCTCTATAGAAACACCAACCCTACCCTAGTATACATCGCCTGCTCAATCAATCTTTTCTCTCCCTCCATTTGTTTTTGGGCTAGAGATATGTCAGACGATTCTAGTAGCACTGTTACAAAACAAAAACGCACCATAGGCCGCAAAAAGATTGATATCAAGAAAATACAGAACACAAGCTCCCTCCAGGTCACTTTTTCCAAGCGAAGAACCGGCCTTTTCAGGAAGGCCAGCCAACTCGGTGCCCTCTGCGGCGCTGAGGTGGCCATCCTGGTCTTTTCTCCCCACGGCAGGCCGTTTGTCTTCGGCCACCCCTCCGTGGACTCCGTCATCTCCCGCCTTGCAGGCACAAGCACCAGCGCTGACTGCATGCATGCGAGTGGTGATGACGAGGATACGCAAAGTAGTATAGTCCAGTCCAATCCGTCCCACTCTGGTACAACGTACCAAACAAGTCCAAATCAAGAAAGCCTTTCGTTGCGATTGCGAATTGGTGGAGGCGGAAGCATGGGACTAGTGAAGGAGGAGACACAGGAGGTGGCGGAGGAGTGGAGTGGAGGCCGTGGGTTTTGGTGGGACCAGCCGACTGAGAAGATGAAGTTGCATGAACTCAAGCAGTTCAAGACATCCCTAGAAGATATGAGGGCTAAGGTGGGCATGCAGTTGGATGAGATGGCGAGGCGTAAATTGGCTGCGAGGGATTTTCTGGGTGTATATCGTAATGGCCGCTGTGGTTAATGATCTTTGGTTTTCATGGAGGCGCGGTAGATTAGGTTAAAATGTGTTTAAATTTTATCAATTTCGTTTTGAGTTTACGAATTTTGATTTCGATTTGTTGTCATTTGATGTCGTTATTAAATTCTTGATTCTTTTGTTTTTGGTAAGAGTTAGATATTATTTGATGCTTTGGCCGTAAGCATGGAAAGTTTACTACACACATATATGGAATGTTTATTGTTCTTGCAAACTAACATTAAGAAAGAAAATCGCATGACCTAAATGGAAATTTTATCTCCAAAACTTGTATTCAACAACGGGTAATAAACGTTGTGATGTCCTTTGACAACACGCTTGCGTGCACTTTTAATGTCTCTTTGATGTTGTCGTACGTATCGATGCACGTTGTTTAAACTTATTTCACAATATTTCAAAAACTGAAACTATACCATTCTTTTAACATCCTATGAGCGTTGCAACTTAGGTTTTCACAACATGCTTTTAATGTTGTCATGTTGCTATCCACAATGGAAATATGTGTGTTGTCAAATCCTAAATTTTTTTTATATATAAATTAAAATATGTGAATCCTATTCATTCAAATCGTATGATATAAACATAAATGAAATAGTAAAATTTAGCAATTCTTGATTAATGCATTCAACAGACCTATCTACCAAAAAGATCTTTTGGACTCACAGACAAGGAAGTTCAAATTTGAAGGCCATTTTATGGCTGCGCATAAAATAAATTCAATACAAGAGCAAGGCTCTAGCCCTAGTAGAGACAGAGAAATTAAAATATGTTGTCAAAATAATAGAAAATAAATTAAAATATTACTGTCATTAGATTTAACCCTACATCAACTAATTCAATGACCCTTACTACAACCCAGAGCACAGTATAATGACTATAATTCTTGACTACTTTATTGGTGAATTGAGAAAGCTATACACTTTTACAGCCCAGGGGAGGAAAAAGATAGATTACTGTGGACGAAGCTTTCTCATCAACCACTTCTTTCGGAATGCAGCATCCAGTGCTAAAAACATTCTGGCTCTCCCTTCATCCTCTAAAAAGTCACAGGCATCTAGTAATAGATCATCGTCGATGTCTGGTATAGACTTCAAGACACCAATAACCTTCTCTATGGATACAGATTCCTCTTTCTTTAGTTTCTTCTTCAATGAAGACACTGCGACTGCCATATCTTCTAGAGCATTAACGGCCTCAACTCCATCCGTTCTTTGTGCTTTTTTAGACTGTTGTAAGGTTTCTGGTATTTGAGGACAATGCCTTTTCTTTTGATCTGATAAATTCTTGACACTGCTTGAACCTAATGGTTTTCCGTGAGCATAATGTTTGTCAACAATAGGCATAGCTTCTCCATCAGTTTTTTTTGCAAGGGTTCCCTTATCAAGAGCTAGATTGCAACTTGAAGTAGCTTTTTTCAAAATTCTAGCTTCATTTCCACATATGATGCACATATCAGAATAATATGGCATAGCTTTATTTCTATACATACGAAAACTGGGATGTGCCTGCATTCATAACAAAGTAAGGTACAAGCAATAGACAGTGTTTTCCCTTTAATAATTAATCAAGAACAGTTCATATACCTTGATATATTTATTCCAGACCCGATCATCAGCTACCATCTTTTGTTCTGTTTCATCCCACTTAAACCCCCTTTGATCAAGCAGAATCTTAATGCTACTGTAATGCCTCCTAAATATACTATACCGGTTTTTCAAGACAGCCCTACCACGCTGAAATCCGAATTTCTCATTAAAAGATGTGATCATGGACACCCATGATTTCTTCTTGAAAGAGCGACCGGCCTTATTCCCTTTACACACCTCATCCAACATAAGTTCAACAAAAAATTGGTCCATAGTCTGTGACCACTCAATTTTAGGATCATCATTAATGGGATCTTGACAATCAATTCCTATTGCTACAAAATTTGAGAAACATTAATAATGTTGCAACACTGTTTGCAGATAATGATCAAATAGAAAATTAGCTTAACTAAAGATCACCAAATTGACAGTGATGAATAGCAATTTCTCACACTATACGTACCTTCGTTTTCAAAGTCTACATCATAACATGAAAGACTGTATCTTCCATCAGCAACTGCATGCCCACATATTATGCACAACTCGTTATAATATGAAACGACTTTTGTTCTGTATGGTTGCATTTCAGGGTGGGCCTGCATGGAACATATGCAATCTAACTGCAAAATAACTTACTTTGTGGACAGTGGAATTTAAAGATTTAGGTAAAATGGTGTACCTTGATATAGTCATTCCATACACTATCATCAGCTGTTATCATCTGTTGCGATTCATCCCATCTAAAATTACCCTGATCAACAAGGCTCTTCATCTCACTGTACTGCTTCCTCAATCTTTTGTATCGATTTTTCAGAATGTCTGTATCATACTTAAATCCAAATTTGGTATTAAAGAGTACAATCATATCTGCCCATGCTTGTTTCCTAAATCCATGACCAGTTTTGTTCCCTTTGCTCACTTGTTCTAGCAAAAGGTCAATGAAGAAGCTGTCTTGAGGTGGAGTCCAGTTAGCCCTCAAATGGTCACCGGTGCTAGAAAAACCAGAATTCATCCTTCACCTGCAATTTTAAGATTCTTGTCAATGAAAAGAACAGCTGATGCTAATGAAAATGCAATAAACTTAAAAGAGGTACTTAAGTCACAATTGCTCATACTGCCTAGATGAACACCAGATTTGTAGTTGTAAATAACCGCATGCTGCATTATATTGCTTTTAATGTCAAAATTAGACATTCATCCACAACCACTTAGACCAACAATGCAACCACCATCAATCTCACTGCTAACACAACCACCGTGCCGCTTTGTGCTACACTAAAGGCTCATCCATTGCCACCATTTGCTTATGCTATTGCCCCCCTTCCCCACCAAGACTGCCCACATAAACTTGTCCACCATTAGTCAAGACCCTACTACTCTCAGTCTTATAACTCTTTTTTATTTTATTTTTAATATTGATAAGATTCAGCCTTATAACTCCTGAAGAAATAATTTATTTATTTATTTTTTTAAAGTTCTTAGGGCTGCAAAATTATTTTGGCCACATAACTTTGATTGGATTTCAAATCTTCGACTAACCAACAACGCGTAATTGCTTCAAAACAATTAGATAGAAACCCTAATCCTCTGCTTGGTTGCCGAGAAACCGTTTCCGGACGATTTCTCAAGATTCAGAAAAATTAAAATTCACATACAAGCAGAAATCATATGGAAAAAGGATAAAAATCAGAACTTTGATAAAACAAGCAGCGGTGAAGAATAGAAAGTACCTGTTGGATTGGACTGGTCTTGAGCCAACGAACTGTGGGTGGCAAAAAAACGGAATAAGATTATCCACGGATAAGAGTGAGAAAACTGGTGTTTGGCTTTGGATTTGGCTTTAGCTTAATTTTAGGAATGGGCTAAACTAGCAGAAAAACTTACTTGCAACGGGTTGGATTTTGAGTTACTCAACCGAACCGATCAACCCAATCACAAAACTTTTAGGTTGAATTAAATTGGCCTAAAAAACAATCATAAATCACTATATATCGGGTTGGATTACGAGTTGAGACTAAAATCGATCCAACTCAGCTCATGCCCACCCTTAATTGTTCTAATCAGGCCCGACCCTAACCCATAGTAGGAAGTGCGACATTCCTGGGCCCTAGATTAAGAGAGGGCCCCAAAATTATTTTTTTTACATTGTGAGGTCATATTCAACGCCAGCTGTGATGGTGATGTCTAGCTTTTAATTCAAGTCCTTTCTTATATAGAGATATATATAAAATAAATGATATTATATCTTTCATTTTATAATATTCTACACCCATATAGATTTTTCTTGTGTGGTCTATTTTCGGCGTCGCTTCAGGCCTTGAAAATCTCAGGGCCGGTCCTAGTTCTAGTCCCTTAACTCACATTCGTTAGCACCATTGATCATATCGTCATATTTGTTACTTTTTATGTTAAATTTAGGGACCAAAATATTCTACACCCATATAGATTTTTCTTGTGTGGTCTATTTTCGGCGTCGCTTCAGGCCTTGAAAATCTCAGGGCCGGTCCTGGTTCTAGTCCCTCAAATCACATTCGTTAGCACCATTGGTCATATCGTCATATTTGTTACTTTTTATGTTAAATTTGGGGACCAAATGTAAAGAATCCACCATCAAACTGTAAACCCAAATTCCTACCGCCACTAACAAAGAACGATCTCTTGACCCAAACCAACTAACACCATATTAGTATTCTATCCCTTTTTTCTTTTAAGAGAGGTCCATTTATTTTACTCACCCACCTACTTGCAAGTGGCAAAACAAGTGTGATGAGTGGAGGCCCATAACATGATGTAGAAAGAATGCTCTGTTCTTTTTTCGGAAAATTATCTAGAGAGGGAGGGTGGAGGGTTGGTGGATAATGAACTAGTCAATTTTGCTCACCCCATTTAAATACTCAATCGGCGCGTGGGGGAAAGCGAATCTAGGGGTCATGCCATTTCCACCGCCCCAACAAAGTAAGAAGCATTCCGACGTCACCTAATTCCTTACGTGCGACACTGCTCATGCGAATAACACGCGTCTGACTCACTCACCCGTCTTGCTCAAAAACAGCATCATTCTAAAAGTATAATGCACTCATCAAACTTGATCGGGGAATTTTGTTTCCGGTTAGTATCACGTTATCACAAATACCACTATTACTATCAATTGAATCGATAACTAATAGTTTTAATACTCTTGATGTGATCATTCTGAAAAACAAACTAGTATTTATATCATCTGGATTAGAGAGGTGTTGAGTAATGTAACTCATATTTTATTGATATTTTTTATATCGATGATTTACTATAATGATGATACTTACAACATTCACTTTTTATTTAGATGTGACATACCCTAAAATTCATAGAGCAATGCTCGGACATGCACGTGATCAACTGAAGTAATCATAATTTAAAATACATTTATTTTTACTTTATTTATCTCTAACGTATAAGATCATCATGAAATTAACTTGTGATTGACCAGGCTATCGTCTACCCTAATTTCTTTTAAATTTTATCTTTTCTTCTTATTAGAATTTAATCCACATACCAAATAGTTCTCAATCCAAAACCATCTTATGCGTCCAGCCCAACCAAAAGGAAAAACCTAGTTCCGGCACACTGAATAGATATCGAAGCATTATTTTGCAAGTAAACTCTATCTTGGTGAATTTAACATTATTGTTATAAGAATTGCGAGCATACAAATGTAATTATCGAGTTATAAAATTGTCTATATCTCCCATTACGTGACAAAGAAATCTCTTGTAATTGCACACAACCATAATAGGGAAGAATGAGTCCGACTCAGATTTCATCTTTTACGTATTTGCTATAATTTGCTAGGTTTTTTTTTTCTTCCGTACCTATTAATTTTCCCCCACCAACCTTATTAAGGATGTGGTTAGCAGGCACCTTCAAGTGTTGCCTCACCCGCCCGACACTGTTCTTCATCCTTGTCTTAAAGACAATACAAGTACAACTGCAAACCAACCGCATGAATTCTCTACTGCCATTTTTATTCCATTTTCATTTTTCTTAAAACAAATACGTTTTGTTTTGTTATTTACGATTATATTGATAGTTTAGTTATCTGCTATGCGTCAGCAGTCCGTTACACCCAAGGAAAAATAGGCCTTCCATGTTCAACATCCGTCTGGGCGGTATCAACGTCAGCTGGCCTTGTCTCTCGTTAGAGAGCTGAGAATCATTCCTTTTTATTGAGATCTGCATTTGAACAGTGAAGATTTCAGGTTTTATAATCTGGGTTCTGTTCAGACTTCAGAGCTGTGAAGCAACTGGAACTGGGTTCTGTTCATAGTTTTCCGCAGAGTTAGCTTCCTGTGAGTTAAAGTTTTATGATTTTGAATTATGGGTACTTTCATTTTTGTTATTTATTCTGTTGTTTTGGATTGGTTTTTGATGATTTTCATGCTAACTTTATATTTGCAAGGGACATGAATTAGTTTCTGTTTCATTTTTAAATTCAACTGGTCAAAGCTGAGAAATTTTATGCTTTCAGTTATTGGACTGATAGTTTCCTTCAGCTTCTATTGGCTCTCAGTTAGTATGCTTGTAAATTTCGATATTTTTCAGTATTGTTTCTGAGGCTAGCTTATTGTGTATGCTCAATGATATGCTTAAATATCTATTTCTGGTTGCTGGTGATTGAGAATTCTATTGCTACTGGTGATCATAGAGAGCTTCCTTGATTGCAGTTTCTAATTTTTCTTTTTGGATGTAATTATAATAAATCAGGGTTTGAAACTGAAGTCTGTCAGGAATACCAGGCCTAAATTTCCCTCATAGCTTTGTTAGGGGGGCTCTTCCCAGTTCGTTGGAGATGCAAAGATGGAGAAAACACAAAAGATCACTCAGTACAGAGAGAGGCTGGACAGGACACTGGCATCTCCTAATCTAACAAATAAGGAGGCCTTAAAACTCCTTGTCAAGAAACAGCTGATTCGTTCTTCCGAAAATGAAATTGGAGGTTGCTAATTATTTTCTTTTTGTGTTCTTTAATCAGCCACCGGTTGTATGCCTGTATCTTAAAATAGTGTAAGAAAATATTGACAAAAGCTAATTGTATTCGGCGAACACATAATAATTTTAGCTTTATGGGTCCTGCAGGATGTAATGAGAATGTGATAGAAGAAAAGACTGCTGAAGTATCCAATTTACTTGACATGTTGAGGAGTGCTTGCATTGTTGATGACAAGGGATTGACTACTTGTGAGACCACATCACATCCTGAATGGAAAGTATGCTATCTAATCTGCATTATCTTCTTCGAATCCTGTTTTGCTCTGGAACTGTTTTCTTGGTTATAATATTTTTCACTTTTTCCTGTATTGTATATGTGTGTAAGTCTGCTTGCGTCTCTCCCTGACAGCCACACCTATAAATTTACTTCTATTGAATCAATTCTGTAATAAGTGAGGCTGATGAGTTTCATTGTTATCATTCATAAAGGATAAGAGGTTCTGACTTCTTATGTCTGTGGTTGGGCCTTTACCGATGCTGTTTGAGTCTCTTTTTTAATATGTACAACTTCTATAACTTCAATTTATCAGTAACATTTTAAAGTTGTAAATTGTTACATTCGCATGTTTGAAACTTATTTCTAAAATTATAAAAATTTAATACAGTTAATTTACTTAAAGCATATTTCATATTTTAGTCTTGAACAGTCGTCATTAAACGTTATTGAATTTGTACTAATGAGGCCTTGTGACCCTTATATTGTGAAACTTACATAGTTGCAAATATACTTCATTCTACAGTTAAAACATGATAATGAACAGTTCCGTGTTATGTATCGCGAGGGAATCCAAGGCACTCCCTTTCATACATTACTTGTTGAAGGCTACGTAGACGGATCTGTAGATGACTGTAAGTTAAACTAAAACACTTGAAAGTTCGTATGCCTCATGCTACAATGGTGAACTTTAAATAAGTCAAGTCTTTTTGAGACAAACAAGTTTCATTTTATTGCAGGTTTATGCGCCTCATGGGAAGCAGACCTTTACAAGAAATGGTAAGTCATTTCAATCATTGCATGTGCATTTCATTTATCATCTCACTTGTAATTAGATCTGGTCAGCTTGATGGAAATTTATGTTGAAATAGTTGTTTCGTGTTACCGAACGTGTCTGTCATCAATAAAATGTTGTGTGTATGAGAGACAGAGACAGAGATTACAAAAACTCTTATTCTGTAAGAAAGGAATTTAACTCTTATTTATACAATAATTTGTTTTGTATCCTTCTCCCAGGTGGCCTCAGTCTACCATTCCAACTTTCAAAATTCTCTCTGCCAAATGTTTGCAGAAGGTCCGGATTGGTGAACAGATTTCTTTAGTGAGGTTTGTCTAAAATAAGGCATAAAACCAAATCATATGTTAAAGATTCTTTTTTTTTCTTCCACTTATGAGAATGTTTCCATTCAAAATGCTGACTTTTATTTATATTTTTGGAAGAAAGGATGAAGGTTCCATGGCCACTTTCACCTAGGGAGGCTGTTGTACACTATTTTATGTTTGAGTACTTCCAAGAAGATCTGATTGTTGTTCTCTTAAAATCGGTAGTTAACTGAAATAGCCTGTTGACTTCAATTGTTATTTTGCTTTCCATATGTCCAATCTTCCTGGAATTCCAAGATAGAAACCTGAAAAACTGACTTTATTGCAAATCCTGTTTCAGGTCTCTGATTCGGAAAGCATTGATGGTGTTCGTGGTCTCACAAATGAGGAAACTGCTGGAGCAAAGGATTTGGTAAGGATAGATGTGGTGGGTGGCTTTGCTATACAGAAGGTTACCAAAGAAAGAAGTTACTTTCGGTAAGCTATGGCGACGTGAATGTGAAATTTGTTCACTTTGTTCAGTTGTTTGTAATTAAAGCCCTCAACATTGTCAATTTTTGTAGGACAATAGCAACTATGGATATAAAAATGGACTTTGTCCCGCCATCCCTTATAAATTTTTTCTCAAGGCAGCTCATTGGCAATGGTTTCCGACTCTATCAAAAGGTTATATGGTTTCCGGCTCAGAAATTTCCTTTGTCTTTCCATTTCCAAGATCCAAAGAGAGCCTTCAAAATGGAAAGGGGTGGATAAATTTTTTGAATTTACATGTTGGCCATTTTGCTGAAACTGCATGGAAACATCGCTTCATTCTCATGACATGAGACTCAGTTTTTATCATTTTCTTCTCACATTTTCCAATGCTTAACACCGTTACAAACTTACAGGCAGTGTCTTCTAAGCTTAACTGTGATGGAGATTACAGTAAGGCCTTGGAAGGCCCGCTGTACACTCAGATACGTGAAGCTCTTTTTCCACTTAATGAACCAAACAGACCTCTGGAAGGAGAAAGGCTAAACAGTGACACGTCCAATCTCTCTGAAGAACATCTAATGAAAAATCAGATGAGTGACCTGAAGTTGGTGGATATGGATCAGAAAGTTGAAAATGATCAACCTGCAAGTGAAGCTGCCCCAGATGATGCACAAGTTCACCCTGTAAGTAAATTGATGTCAGATGATGCATTAGTTACTGGCAGAAGCACTTTTGGTGAGATTGAGGAGGTAGAGAGCAAAGACGGCTGGCAGCTTGAGAATCAAACATCCAACAGAGTTGCAGAAAAGGGTCTAGTAAATGGAAAGAGAAATGTTGTTATCAGTTCTGAGGTAGAACAAGCTTTAGGAACATTAGAAAAGGTAATTTATAAGGTTCGAAAAAATGGGTTGAATGCTCAAATTCGGTCCTCTTCTGGCTTCACCAATGAAATCCCCCGAAAGGAAACTGATGGAGGTAACCCAAAAGCCTTAGAAAGTGGAGTGTGTATAAGTGGTGAACGTTTTGTTGAAGCATCTAAAGAAGTCATTGAGAGGACTTTGCCTAAGTCTGTGACAAATAGCTCTGGCATTCACAACTTAAGGTAATTAATTATGTATATTATTGATCATAATCATTTCCTGCGCATTTTCCTAGAAATTTGGGTTCCGAATCGTATACCTTCCTTTAACACCATGATTTTATCTAGGAGCCAAAAGGTTAACCTTTTTTTATTTTTCTTATGTCCCAGCTATGCAGGATCAAATTCTCTGTCAAAGGAAGTTAACCAGAACAGAATAGTACCTACTTCCCTAGAGCAGGAACTTTCAATTTCTTGTGATAATAACCAGTCTGCCTTGCGTTCCTCCAAATATGGGACTGCAGAGGTACCAGTATTGGACTTGGATGATATTATGAACAGTACCACCAACCACATGAGCTCCAAGGCAAATGGCATGGATGAAAGTGGCCCTAATAGAGCAAAGAAGATGAGGCAGCAACGAAAGCATCGGTACTGTTGCTTCAGCATGAATTAAAGACAGGCAATTTTTTTGGGAAGTTGAAAATGCAAGAGTCTTAGTTTTGTTAAGTCACTCTACATTGTAAGCCTAATAGATGACTGAAGAGTGGATTTGTAACATTTTACTTATAGAATGTTTAAATGTATAATACATTGTTTAGAAGGTCCACGAGGCAGTGAAGGATGTACCAATATCTTAGAATAATCATTTACATAATAAGTAGTAATGCAAAATTTATTTTTTAATATAGAACATGGGACTTGTTCTTTCATTAGTTCTGTGATGAAAAATATTGTTCTTATTATAGTTGAGAGTTGTGATTTGAGAATACTTTTTAGTTCCCATCATGAAAGTACTGCTAGTCCACTTGGATGAGCCATGCTCGAGAAATAAAACAGTGAAAATGGCAGAGAACAAGATGCTCACCTGGTCGTGAATCTTCTCTTGTCCAATTGTCTGGTAACACAAGATGCTTACCTTGTCAGTATGAACCACATAAGCATTTGACTGACAACAGACATTATCCTACAAAGAACAATAGAGAACTTGTACCACTGATCACTTCGGTTTTTGATTTTTGATTTCTTATACAAGCGATACTTGAGAAAGGGAAATCAAACTTAGGAACTCAGGTGCAAAGATAAATTCAGGTATTATACACATAATTTTCGCACATTATTAAATAAAAATAATATATATTAAAAAAAATTAAATAAATCTTATTAAAATATTATATAGTGGCTGAACTTATCAGTTTAATGTGCAGTAACATAATTTAGTAGCACTTGAGAGAACGAGGTAGACCAAGGGCAAACATTCCCACAAAAAAAGAAGAAGAAAAAATTGAACTCCCAAATTGATTTACGGTGAAATTTCTCTCTTCAATATTTGCTTTGGAGATGTCGAAACTAGCAAATTAATATCTATAAAGTATAAACTAATGCAACTAGAAGGGTCATTTTCTCTTATTTATTTCTTTAATAAATAGTATAACTGTGCGGCTATACTCTTTAAGTATATTATATTTAGAGGAATGCTATTCTTATGCTTGTTATATAAAAAAAAATTGTATAGCCGGGCGGCTATACCTTTTTGACACGTGGCGAAATAGCACTAGGCTCAGGCGGGTCCTCTTTTTAAAATATAAAAAAAAATTCGTATAGCCGTGCGGCTATACTACGGTTTTATGACAAAGCGGGTGCTTCGCACCGGGCGGGTCCCCCTTTCTTGATTATATAAATAGTATAGCCGCGCGGCTATACTTGGTGTTTTTTAATAAAACTAGTAGAGCCGGGCGGCTATAATACGGTTTTTTTATTAAGTATAGCCGCGCGGCGATACGCGGGATTTTTTTTTAAAAAGGAGTATAGCCGATCGGCTATACACTTTGCATAAGACCCCTTTTATCCTTCTCCTTCAGTAAAATTCCTCCTCGGTCCCCTAAAATATTGCCATTATTCCTTGAACCCTGGAAGTTGTAATGACACTTGTTAACCCAATCGCCGGTGGTCTGTGAGCTCCAACAATGTCGAACAAACACCTACTAACTTCTCTCTCATGCGTTCTCCGACGAACCCTAACTCTGAGGTCTCATTTCTCATTCAATTCCACCAGGTGGTTTCAATCCGGCACTTTCTTCTCACCCAATGTAAAAACACACCACCGCCTTTTCCCGTGTAGCGGATTGGATTTTCTCGGGATTCACAACATTCCCGGAAAATGTTTTACCTCCTCCCAATCAGCGGAGAAAGCCAGCGCCAAGTGTTGGAACTGTAGTGCAGCTGCTGAAGCGGTGCCATTTCTGTTGTGTTCATCTTGTCGGTGCATTCAACCTGTGGATCAGTCGGTGGATTACTTTCAGATATTTGGACTGTAAGTAATTGAATCTTTGAGAACTATAAATTCTTATTAGTATTTCGTGAATTCAGTTGTTGTTTTTTTATTCTCTGCCTTGAATTTATGGTTCGCATTTGTTTGGTTACCGAGAAAGCGGAGAGGGAGGTGGAAAGAAAGTGAAAATTTTGAAACTTGGTTAACGAATTATGGTTTCAAATCTTTAGTTTATGTTATTCTGATTTGAGCATTTCCTTTCACAAATTTAAAAAGAATGAAAATTTGGAAGTTTTAGCTAGTGTTCACTCTTCAATGTGATTTCCCTTTTTTTCTTATAAAAATTAATTTTGACAGGGAGAGAAAGTATGACAGTGTGGTGGACAATCTGGAGGGAAAGTATAAAGCCTGGCAGAAAAAATTGCACCCTGATCTTGTTCATACAAAATCGAAGGTATTTCTGATACATCTTTGTATTTCAAAATATAAGATATAAAAATAGTAATTAAATTATATGAAGGAGAAAGTTTTGTTTTGCTTTAATGTTTATTATGTTGTTAGGAAGAAAGAGAGTATGCTGCTGAACAGTCTGCTCGAGTGATTGATGCATACCTCACACTTAGCAAGCCCTTGGCGAGGGCAATCTACATTGTAAGTGTACTTTTCGCCTATTAGGTTTGTATTCGTTGTTGTGCTCAGAGTTGATTCATTTTCATGGTACTTTGTAATTGTATAACAGCTAAGCTGAGTCAGCACGAGATTAGTTATGGTGTCACGTGCTGTTAGTTAAGGTGTTACTGTGTGTGTTAGAAGCTAAGCAAAGCTAAGGCTAAGTATATATTGTAATCTCTCTGTAGAAACTGATTAACAAAACAATTCAAGGAATACAATTCTCTCTGAAATTTCCTTTCTTTTTCTTCTTCTTCTCATCAATATCATGAATGTTATCACTTTGTTGTGTTGAAAACAATGTTACGAGAACCGCACTGTTAAGCAGAAAATGGTCTTGGTCGAATGTGGTTACTTGGTAAATATACACACACACATATACATTTATATATATACTACGGGTTTTAGAATTTAATTGTGCTATTTTGTTTTCAGTTGAAGCTTGAAGGTGTGGATGTTGATGAAGAAGAGACACTTTCAGAATCAGAGTTGTTAACTGAGGTAATTTGCAAAAGTTGACTTTGTTGTCTTCATGCAGTATATTATCTCCTTGTTTTTCCAGACATAACAACTATATCTGTTTGTAACTGTCGCGTTATAAATTATAATTTTTCCCATAGTCCAAAATTTTGGTGCAAAGTGACTGAAAATCTGCAAAAGAGTTTGTTGCTCTATATCAGATGGAATCTTTGACATTTAGAGTGCACATGTTTTGAGACAAATATCACCCATCAGGGTCTGCCCCATCTTGACAAATCTTTCATGGTGAAAATATTTTGTAAACTTAAAGATAGTTGATGCATGCTTCATAGAGTAATTTGCATTGGTATTTGAGGTTATCAATATGTCCTTGGCTGTTGGGCATGTTGCAAGTGACATGACAGTTTTGTGGTGGAAGTTTGGCATGGTTTGTAGTGGAGATAGTTTCTTTTTCTATAATTTTTTTCTTCAAAAAATTAAACTTGGGTTATAAATATTGGAGAAAGCATAGTATTTATAGACGTTTTGGAGTCACTGACTTGTATTTATTTTGTTTGCATGGATATACTGAAGTTGATGAGAGTCATTGAGTCAATTTTTTCTTTTTCTGATATCTGGTCTGCATTTAAGACTTTGATTTTCTTATACCTTCTGACTTTGAAATTGCAGATTCTGGAAATCAGGGAAGCTGTTGAAGAAGCTGCTGACTCTCAGGCTTTACTTCAGATTCAGTCTCAGGTATGACCCGAGACCTTTCAAATACATTTGGGAATGATTAGTTAAACATCATAGTAGCATGGCACTTCTCTTATCCTGCCACATATGTGCCTTGCAGTCTAATTTGTAGAGCCTTTTTAATTCACGTGTTAAGTTAATCAGAATATGCATGATGGCGAGTTTAGTGCCCTTTCATTCATTTTATTTCTTTTCTTAACTAACTTTTCTTCTTGCTCATCCAGATGCAAGAGAAACTGAAGCACTGGTCTAACTCTTTTGCAAATGCATTTCGAAGCCGGAACTTCGATGAAGCTCTAAAAGCTATCCGGAGAATGACTTACTATGAGCGTGTAAAAGAAACTATTGTAAAGAAGCTGTAATCAAGGTAGTGTATACAAGTCCTTAGCCAAATAATCAATATTCAATAGACATCATGAGTATAGGAGACATCATATAGGGCAAAGTGTATAATTATGTCCGTGTACAAACCTGAGTTTGGGTAAAGGGCTCTGTTCTATCCAATTCATGTGTTTGGTCTTGCTCTGTTCTATCCAATGCATATGTGTTTGGTTTTCTCTGAGGCATGGTAGTCTACGGTTGTGCATGCCTACACACACACACACTTCATAGGTATCGACCCAGAAAACTCTTTGACCTCCTACTTATGGGAAAATGAAGGGCACCATTTGCTCCATATGGTTATGAACTTATGTTGTCATCCTATAATGTCAAGTAATAAATCGAATATACAGAATTGCCAGTTGGTTTTTCTAGAAATTTCTTTATTGGAAAAGATTGGAACTTTATTTATTTATTATTATATTATGAACATATGAATAATTCTAATGAGCCTGTCATTTGGTAACTTTCAGGCACTTCAGTTCTGAAATTGGTATGGTTCTGGAGCAAACCAAATTTAATTCCATGATTGACAAGTAGAAGATTTGATGGCAACATGTGAGTATATTTGGATTTTGGAAAAACAATGTGATGCTTTGTTATTTTCTTTTATCCTCTTTTACTTTACATGGATGAAAGCTGATCCTAGATTGTTCCTCATTGCAGCCAGATTTTGATTGACGACCTGGTTGAGATTTGCCCGGCATCCTTCCGAGAAAAATTAAATGTCAGAAAATACAAAGATTGGGCTGACATTTGGTCCAGCAGCAAGTACTTTTCATCATACTATTCTGTAACCTCTTATGATGGTTTAGAGATAGCTCTTAATAATACGAATGCTTGTTGGATGAATTGTCCATGCACAAGCTGTACCTGGCAAGCACTCTTCTGCAGAATCTAAGTGTTCTATTTATCTTGTTATAAAATGAAAAGATTGTTCCAAATAAATGCCACAGAAGAGTGAGACAAATCAAACACCATACCAGTCATGCCCGTAAATCAAGGATTAGGAATTATGTTAACAACTTACGTTTTCTTATTAAAGACAACTTTTGCTGCATTACATTGCGAGCCAAATCTTGCTTACCTTCTCTGTTAAGCCCGTAAAATACGGTTCGAAAATTGACCACACTGGGAACAATCCCTGTGTTCAACATTTCAGGTATAAGCTGCGTGGCTTCTTCAGATTTACCCACCTTACAAAGACAAGAAATGAACATTGAATAAGTTCTGAAATCAGGCAATGGCCCTTTTTGTTTCATCTTGTGGAAGACTTCCCAAGCTTCAGCAAACATTTCCATGTTCATGTACCCTCGAATGAGCGCAGAATACGTAACAATTGTTGGTTCACAACCCTCCTGTTGCATTTCCTTGAAAATCTCTAAAGCTTTTCCTATCTGCTTCTCTTTGAAGAAATGAACTAATAAAGATGTATATACATGGACGGTTGGATTTATGCCTGCTTGCTTCATAGAATCCACCTTGGCCAGTGCTGCTTCTAACTGTCCACTCCTCAGAAGTCCATGAACAAGGCTCCCATAAGTGTACTGATCCAGTTTCGACCGGTCCTCCCTGACATCATCCATCAATGCTTCAGCTTCTTGCAATCTCCCAGCTCGACAAAGAGCCCTAATGTACAAGGAATAACGAAGTGGAATTGTAAAACCAGTTTTAGAGAGCAAATCTATGCATCTTCTTGCATCTGATAGCTCACCAACTTCACATAAACAACCAAGATAAGATTCAACCAATTCTTTGTCAGGTACATGATTGGCACGAATCATCTCCTGGAATATTCTAATTGCTTCATCTGCCTTTCTACCTTTTCTCCCACAAAGAGATATGATCAAATACTTGTAGGTACTGCCAGTTGGGCTGTAATTATTAGACTTCATCTCTTCAAAAATCTGAAGAGCAATCTCTGTCAGACCTGTTCGACCATATTGCATTATCATTATTGTCCATGTATCTGCTGTTATTGAGAAACCTTTTCTTCTCATTTCATAGAAAAGGCTTCTCATGTGTTTGAAATCTTTCCCTTGTCCTGCGATTTTGATAGCCATGTTATAAGTTTCGGTAGTGTGGCTATAACCAGTTTGCTTTCCCACCCACGAGAAAAATTGTAACGCTACCAATCCATGCATACTGCTACTCCTCAAAATTTCCAGAACGAGCCCTGGAGTGAAATCAACAGAAGAATTCTCCAAAGCTTCCTGAATAGAGCACCAATCTGTTGACGAGGACAGAATTCTACAAATTTCTTTCAAGTCTTGCTCATCATAAGCTTTTGAAAGTGGCTCCAATAAAGGATTGCGATCCATCCTTGCTGGTTCTGAATGGTTAAAGTCCAACCCAGTATTGAGCTCCTCTCCCTTGCACAGATCCTTACTAAATACCTCTTCTTGTGGTTGAAGTTTATAGATTCTCTGCATCTGTTTTACTTTTTCAAGGTTCTCCGTCTCTCCCTTTTTCTCCATATGATGTATAGCCAAGTTAAATATGTCATCTCGAATGACTATATTAGATGCTTGCATATCATCCAAGACCTTGAGAATCTCATCTGTCCTTGAAATTCTGCATAGCTCCTTGATGAATACAGAATATGACTTGACAGTGGGCTCGATGCCTTTCTCCTTCATATTATTAAATACTTTCCATGCTTCAGATATATGGTTTTGGCGGACATGACCTGCAACCAGAGCTGTGATTGCCACACTATCTGGTTCAACTCCACTTTCCAGCATCTCTTCATAGAGCTCACAGCCTTTTTGATATTCACTCAACTTAAAAAGGTGTTGCATCAGCTCTGTGTAGGTAGAAGTCATAGGAAAATATCCAGATTCTTTCATGCTATGAAACAGATCAAGTGCTTTAGAAACATCATTTATTCTTAAGTACCCATTGATGATAATCCCATAAACCTTCCCATCAAGAATATTTCTTCTCTTCATGATATCCAAAATTTCCAACGCGTCTACAATTCTATCAGCCCTACACAGTCCTTTCACCAAAGTCTCAAAATACTCAGGGCCAAGAATAACCTCTCTGTTCTTAAGCTCACGAATAAATTCTAAAGCTTCTCTGATTCTTCCAGAGATACAGAAACACTTGAGGACAGAACCATAAACAATGTGTTCTGGAATCTGTGAGACTCTAATCATGTCATCTGAAACCAAGGCAACAGCACCAGTCTCTCCGGATCTAGCTATACCATTCAATAACAGCTTGTACAAATTCGTGTCAAGCCCAATGTCCTTCTTTACCATCTCCTTGTAAAATTCCATTGCAACGTCAGATTTTCCAGCAGCACAGAGTGCACGTATCATCAACCTATAAACCACTGCATCCGGTTCGTAACCGCATTTCCTCATCTCTTCATAGACCAACAAGGCTTTGCCAATTAACTTAGCCTTCCCATACTGTGAAATAAGAATAGTCCAAGTCTTAACGTCTTTCTGGCACGAATTCTTTTCCATTTCATCCACCAACTTCTCCACCATTGCAAACTCTTTGGCTTCCCCAGCTATAAAGAGCATGGTATTATAAGTCTCTGTGGTATGACGAAACCCTTCTTTGAGCTTCACCCAATTGAAGAATCTCAAAGCCAAATGTGGCACTTTAAAGCACCTCTTCAAAACTTTGTCAACGATCTCTGAATCTAACTGAAAACCCAAGTTTTCTAACAGCTCTTCCATAGAAACCAAACCATTTTCCGCCCTGACAATCTTTGTAACCTCATGAACAACCGGGCTAACATCAATTTCAACCACATTTTCCAAGTGGGCATCTTCCAAAACCGTTGTATCTTCCTTTTGTTGCAGTACACTACCCTCCGCATTTCTACGAACAGCTAGCGTGCAAGGCGGGCACTCTTCCCCAATCTCACCAACCCTCACCTGGGCTTCTTCAGTTATCAAAATCCCAGACGGAGTTTTCTCCGCAGTAACATTCTCAGCGCCCAAAATCTGAGTTATTTCACTGAAGAGCGAGCCAAAGCCGCTGCTTTCTGCTTCTTGTTTTGAGTGGGCTTTCTTAGGCTTAGATGGTTTATTGAGTGTTGCAAAATGATCAGCCTTGTAATACTTTGAGAAGCGGAAATGAAGTATCTTGCTGGTTGAACTCGAACACAAGGACTGCAGTTTGATGAAGCTTCTCATGATTTGCCTTCAAATTCTCTTCTTAGCGGGAATTCATATACACATGATACATCTCATCAATCAACAGAACAACAAAGAAAGTGTCTGACCAAAAAGAAGACCAGAAAAAATAAAAAGGCGAGAAAATCACGTAAAATTGTAGATATTGTGGTGTGAAAGCAAAGGCGCCCGTGGCCTAATGGATAAGGCGTCTGACTTCTGACCGGGGGATTGTGGGTTCGAGTCCCACCAGGCGTGACTCTGCTCAATTTATTTAAATTAATTTCTGTTTTTTAAAAGAAAATTATACGGTTATACCAATAATAAGCTAACAACTAATTTTCCTTTTGTAATGTACCACTTTTTATTTCTCGATTAAAAAAGTAGAATCAATATTTTTTCTGAGATGGCAAAATGCAACAAACACAATATAATCACTGTATTGAGATATAAATAATAAATACTTTGGCAAAAAAAGAAAGATAGAATAATAAATACTACTTTGCATTGAAATAATTTAATTCCCGTAACTTGAGCCAAATTTTATTTTTCGCAAAAAAGTATAATTTAAGTGACTGAGAGCTAACTCTTGCACATAAAGTTATATGTTCAAATCCCCCTTAATCTAATATCTTATATAAATAACAAAAAAAAAAATGCTCATTTTGTCTACAAATTATCTCAAAAACAAAGATAATAGCTTAATTCTGCAACCAAAGAAAATCTGACATAATTAGCATGTGAGTTCCATAATGCCAGAGTGAAGGGAGCGTGCCCGCCTCCTTGCACCTGAGTTTGATCCCCCTTTTCGTACATTAGAGTAGTTTAAAAAATAACTTTGTAACAAAATAATAATAATTTGGGACTATCTACCAACGATTTCTCGTTCTTTGACTTCAATGTGATTTTTAAATTCAATTATACGAGATGTCGGTTTACGTGGTCGGGCCGAAGTCCCTTTTACAACCAAGTGCACAAAGGCCCAAATCTAGCCCAACGAGCCGCCTTGGAGCCCAAGTAAAGCAGCAATCTTCCCGGACCTTCCACCGAGTAGTGAAAAATCGAAGAGAGATTTTATGGAGTTCGCGCGAAGGCACACAGAGAAAGAGGCATAGAAGGAAAGCAAACAGAGAAGAAAAAAAAATGGGGTGGGTGTGGAGGGACGATGAAGACGACAACAATTCAACTGCGGGTGAGATAAACCCTCGATCGGACGGCGAGCGATGCTCGACGAGGAAGGTGGTGAAGACGCAGTGCAAGACTGAGGAGGTGGAGCCTGGAAAGTTCGTCCGAAAGTGCGAGAAGACCGAGCAGCTTTTCAGGGACTGCGCTGGCAGGTTTGCCTCTCTCTCCATTTCCCTAAAATCCTGTGGAAAATTAGGAGTAGTTTTATCTAGGGTTTCAATGAATTGCCTAATCAAAGCACTGGGATTTTAGCGGCCTCTATCTTTTATGCTTTGATATACAATTTCAATATATTTTTTATATCACTAGTTCTAACCCTTTTGATCTCTATTTCAATTTGGGGTTTTTTCTTTTTCTCTGTATTTTTTGTGTTATGAGGATTATGGGTTAGGATAAAACATGTTAAGAGTCATGAAATTATGATATTTGAAGCAAAATTAAAGAAGCAAATGTTGGTTATGCTGTGATGATTATGAAAACACAGTACGAAAAGAGAATCAAATTTCTTTCTTCTGTCTTGTTGACAATACATGATAATATGGACCATGTTTTGATGCCTGAGCTAGCTCAAGTGCGCTTGACTTACAGTCTAGCAAAGTATGATAGCATGTGATTATTTATAGGGTTGTTTTAGTTTTCTTCGTTCCAATCAGAATACAAACAGCTAAGACATCTAACTTTATTTTACAAAAAGTATTATGGTTTTGGCTACAGTGTTCCGATGAGTATGCTCAGAGGTCCTGTAATGGTCATGCAAAATAGGTTGTTGACGTTCTTGTTAGAGCCAATATAATCAAATTCCTTACATTGGATTGGGAATTAGTTTCAGAAATTTGTGATGCTACCGGTTACTTGATAAATTGTTTTTTAGATTAATTTGAATGATTCCACGACAACATGTGAACAAGTATGGCATGTCAAATTGGTTTAGCAGTTGATGAAGTGATTTATGCTTATTTAGACAAATGGCATGGACTTTAAAGCTGAATACTATGATTGTTCAGTGGGTGGATGAGATACCTAAGTAGGAAAATCTTTCTGTGAGCATCATGTCTCCCAACTCTGTCTTTGCTAGCCTCTGAATGTAATTGGAGCTTTCCTCTACATAAAAAGTATCCATCTCTTTTTCTTCTCCCTGTTTGAGCATTGGTATTATTTATGTTACTACAACATTGACCAATGTTGGGTACTTTACTTTTTGTTAGGCCTGTTGAAGTGGTGCAATCCAATAAAGAGTACACTGAAGATGATGTCACGGAAGAGGTGCTCAAAGGGTCTGTCTACTTTGGGTCATCACAGCATGGAGCATTTGACTTCCCTGGGCTACGCAGTGATATTGAAGACATTGAACGTACCTTTATGGGTGGCCTCAGCCGTTTCTTTGATGCTGCTGAGGAGATGAGGAATGGATTCTTCAGTGCATTTGGGGTTCCACGCATCTTTGATGAGGGACCCTCTTGTTCACTACCATCTAAGAGGCAAGAGGTACCCATTGAAGGCGGTCAGCAGGAAGCTTTTCCTAAAGCAAATGGCGGCAACAACTCAGGGCAAGTTGATCTTTCTGGGTTGGCAAGGGATGTTTGAAGCAAGCCCACGGTAGGTCACATCAATGTTGTCCGGTAGCTTGTTAATAGAGTGACCATCAGCCTTCCGCTGTTATTTTCCTATCTTCCCGTTCGCCTCAAAATAGAATACACGATATATCTCACCTGTAGTAGAATGCAGTTCCTATGAGGGCTTGACTACAAGTCCATTTGACAATAATGTGTTCATGTTATAACGCAATGGTTTCTCAATGGTTTTATGTTTTAGCATGAATCATCTTTCTTGCCCTAAGATATGAATGTGCCTAATAATGTTAGAAAAATCCTATTTTCTGATTAGCACATCAATTATTCTCACATCAATTGATAGAATTACAAAACAGGGGATATACTTGTATGACATCTTGATGACATATTATGCTGCTCTTGTTTCGTTTTCACACTGATTTTAAACTTTCATATAGAATGAGAATGCGCCAGTCGATGCCTAGTTAGTGCCACACCTCACAGTATTGTTGGATAAAATATAATGTTTTTTAATCTAGGACAATTTTAGGATCCTCTGTTTTTGGCGAAGTTTCCAGTTACCTACCAAAAACCAATACCAGATAGTGGTGCTACACCACTACAAAGCCATTATTGACCAAGGAAAGATTTATCAAACCAAAAACACAGCCAACCTCGTGGAGTCAAACAAGTTCCTACGGTGTTATCTGAATCACATTTGGATCAGTGTCAAGTCAAGTCATTGGTCTTCTCTCTCTCTCTCTCTCTCTCTCTCTCTCTCTCTGGTATAAAATAGATGGTCATTTCAGTTGTTAACAACAATAATATTCGCATGGAGAGAAATGGAAAAAAAATTTGGAAGACTACATTTAGTGCTTGGCATGTCATATGGTCTAGGAATTTGGAAGGAAACTTCTACATTACCTAGAGAACAATCTAAGAATGAATGCTCTAGAAATCGGCATGCTTTGTGAATATTGCTACCAACCCCAATTTGTTTACCAAAAATTTTATTCGAACAAAGACAAATTATAAATCTCACTTATTTTTATTTCTGATAAGGAAGATACCGATCAGCTAAGAAAATTTGGCGATTCTATTAATTATTAGTAGATTTTTCTTCTATGATTCTGTTGTTAATGACATAACCAAAAGCGGTACAAACATAATTCAATTGCTAACTACATTTTTCTCAACTAAGTAACAATATTCATATTACCCTCCAATTGTGGTAATTGAACAAATTAAGAAAATAACCGGCTTGGGTCGGCAGCCGGCGGTAGCCCGGCCCACTAAGATCCCGCACCTAACCGGACAAATCCATGTTGTACAGCTGTAATAACTTGATGGTGTGCCGGTCATAACAAAACAATCTGAAACTCCTCCAAATCACAAGATCTCAGCCGTCCATTCCGCTTTGCAGTCCACGATCATACATATATTTTATCAAGTGGGTCCCACCAGGAAGGTAAAAGTTTCTGTTGGGTCATCACAGTCAAACATAAGGCAAAGAAAGAAAAAAAAAAACGCGTCTTTATAAGTTTTGAAACATTCCAACAGAAAAACCTACCTTCTCTCTCTCTCTCTTCCCCTTCCTCCCTCTCTCTTTCTCTCTCTTTCGTTCCTCAATTTCCTTCCTTCTTCTTGTGCATGATTATATAAATTTGGAACAAAGGTAGAGAGAAAACCCTAGTACTCTTTTTCACAATTCAAAAACCACACAAGACGACTGTGTTTTCATTTTTTCCTTTTTCTTCTGCCATTGTTCATTTCTCTGTTTTTTTTCCCTCCTTTCAGAATCTGAAAATTTTCTTCCTTTTTTGACGTGGAATTTGTCAATATAGTTGGCCTCAAAATATTGGGTTTCGTCGAAGTTTGGGTTTTCGATAGTCTTTCTTCTCCGTGGGGTAATGCATTGGAAGGTTGAATGGTTTTTGAGGAAATTTTATGTTTTTTTCTAACTTGTAAGAGAGTTTGGGCAATTGGGTCTTTTGGGTTAGCTTGATTTGGTTGATGTGTTTGGACTTTTTTTGGCTGACGCTGAGGCTGAGTCTTTGTGTATATTTGAGACTCTTGCTGGGGCAAAGCTTTTGTTTGAGAAGATTATAATATGTTGATTAGAATTGCTTAAATTCTTTATTACAGTGAGCAATACAGAATTCTCTGCTGGTTGGTGGATTCATTTCAAGTATTTATTGTCGTTAAAGTAATTGCGATTGAGTTGGTAATTGGTGGATAATGCTCCATTTTTTGTCCTTCCATTTTAATATCCATTACCTTTTTGGGAGGAAAGAAATGGGATTTTGGCCTTTATATGATATGTCTCTGCTTTTAGATTTTTGATGAGAATATAGATCAATATCCGATGGGAAACAACTGCGTTGGATCGACGAAGGACGGTCTCTTCCATTCCGTCTCGAATTCGCTTTGGTGGTCTCGATCGACAGGTTTTGTTTCTCATGGCAGTAGAGGAATTAATAGTACTGATGCAACACCACAATTGAGTCAGAAGAACTCAGAAGCTCCTCTTTATGTTCAAAACAATGCCCCGGAACAAGTTAAAATAGAAAAGGAAGACTATAAGCCGGTGCAGCCTTCAAATCAAAAGGAGAAGGTTCAACCAGACAAGCCTAAGGAACCGGCACAACCTCAGAAGCAGAAAGAAGAGACCATACTTGCAAGACAAGTAACACTTCAAAAAGGAGAGACTAAACCAGCACAACCAAAAATTCACAAGGAACCAGGACAACCAATACCACAAAAGGCAGAGACTAAGCCAGCAGTGGCGGCGAGACCAAAGAAGCCTCATAGTGTCAAGAGGGTAGCAAGTGCAGGGCTTCAGGCTGACTCTGTCTTGCAAACCAAAACAGGTCATTTGAAGGAGTTCTTCAATTTGGGCCAAAAGCTTGGACATGGGCAGTTTGGGACAACTTTTCTTTGTGTGGAGAAATCAACTGGAAAGGAGTATGCTTGTAAATCCATTGCTAAAAGGAAACTGCTGACTACAGAAGATGTGGAGGATGTGAGGAGAGAAATTCAAATAATGCATCATTTGGCAGGGAATCAAAATGTGATCGCGATTAAGGCAGCGTATGAGGATGCTGTTGCAGTTCATGTTGTCATGGAATTATGTTCAGGGGGTGAGCTGTTTGATCGGATTATCAAGCGGGGCCATTTCACCGAAAGAAAGGCAGCACAACTAACAAGGACTATAGTTGGTGTTATAGAAGCCTGCCATTCTTTGGGTGTCATGCATCGTGATCTTAAGCCGGAGAACTTTCTTTTCGTCAATGAGGACGAGGATTCGTCCCTTAAGGCTATAGATTTTGGATTATCAATATTCTTTAAGCCAGGTATGTCTTAACAGTTGTCCTCTTTCTTACCTTACAGATCAATTCCTTTTTATGATTTTATTTACTGTTAGATTTTCTCCCATCTGAAGTGATAGCATATATTATTAAGCAGGGCGTTACACCTTTGATGATTTTAAAATTGATAGCCTTTGACATTTTGGTGACTGTTTATGACAAACACCTATCAGATTGGTATTAGAATTCTGCTATATAATATATATATATACTTCTTTTACTTTGTCAAAACATATGTAGCTCTCTTAATTATTGGTTGACTTTTAGTTAAACTGTGATGTTTCTTTGCATGCTTCCCTCTGCTTATTTTCATGCCTACAATATTTTATAAGTTTTGTGGTGCTGCAAACTACTTTTCTTTGTCTTCTCTATCATTGACACACTTAAATTGACAGGGGAGATTTTCAGTGATGTGGTTGGAAGCCCGTATTATGTTGCACCTGAAGTCCTGCGCAAGCACTATGGTCCAGAAGCAGATGTATGGAGTGCTGGTGTTATCATTTACATTCTCTTAAGTGGGGTGCCTCCGTTTTGGGGTGGTAAGAGTTTTACAATGTCTTTCCTTTCTCGAGTGTGTGCGTGTGTGTGTGTGCCTGTGCTTTTCCACAAAGCACTTGCCATTTTTCTCTTCTTATTCTCTCTTTTCCATTTGAAACAGAAACTGAGCAAGAGATATTTGAAGAGGTTTTGCATGGTGATCTTGACTTCTCATCAGATCCCTGGCCTAGTATTTCTCAAAGTGCCAAAGATCTAGTTAAGAAGATGCTTGTTAGAAACCCGAAAAAGAGGATAACTGCTCATCAAGTTCTGTGTAAGTTTATACATTTCTATTTATTATCAAGAAAGTGAGACTAGGACAATCCCCTTCGTCAAGAGAGACACAAATTCAATTACATTTCTCTTAGAATCAGATCCTGCAATATGTTTAACCTAGATTGTAGAATGAATTCTATCGTCAGGGCCATTATTGGTTTAAATGAATCTTGAGGCTGTGCATTTTTATAAGGGAAAGATTGGTCTCATATGTTGAAGGATGCCATCAGCATTGCAAAACAATAATGTTTGTTACTTTGTTCTGATTTCTTGCAGGCCACCCTTGGGTTCAGGTTGATGGAGTGGCTCCAGACAAGCCTCTTGATTCCGCAGTTTTAAGTCGCTTGAAGCAGTTTTCTGCAATGCACAAAATTAAGAAAATGGCTCTTAGAGTAAGAGTCTTTGCCCTTGTATTTTATACTTCCAAGTTCATTAATTCTTGTGAAGCTGGCTTCTAACTCTACTTGTATTGCCTGCAGGTCATTGCAGAGCACCTCTCTGAAGAAGAAATTGCTGGTTTAAAAGAAATGTTCAAAATGATAGATACTGACAATAGCGGTCAAATTACTTTTGAAGAACTTAGAGATGGACTGAAAAGATTTGGAGCTAATCTAAATGAGTCTGAAATATATGATCTTATGCAAGCTGTAAGTATTTATATCAGCATTATCCTTCTAAACTGAATGATGCTACCTATTGCCTTTGATAGGTTTCTGGAAAAGTATGCCTCAGAAACAAAAATTTGCAATTCCACATAATTCCTTCATCCAACTTGTTTGTGGATCTTCAATTGTTCTTATGCAAATGTTACTTGTTCTGAATTGCAGGCAGATGTTGACAATAGTGGCACAATCGATTACGGGGAGTTCATAGCAGCAACTTTGCATCTAAACAAAGTAGAGAGAGAAGATCATTTGTTTGCAGCTTTCTCATACTTTGACAAAGATGGCAGTGGCTATATCACTCAAGATGAACTTCAACAAGCCTGTGAGGAGTTTGGCATTGTGGATGTTCACTTGGAAGAGCTGATCCGGGAAGTGGATCAGGACAATGTGAGTACTTCTGTGGCACATAGAGAGAGTAAACTCAGAACTTTCTGATAATTTACATGAAATAATTTTCAAACTTGTTTGTTTCTTCTTTTTTTCCAGGATGGTCGGATCGATTACAACGAGTTCGTTGCCATGATGAAGAAAGGCAATGCAGATTTTGACAAGAAAGGCCTTCATACAAGTGCTATTAGCATTGGATTTAGGGAGGCTCTATCTGTTTGTTAAAAGGCAGTGAGGAATTTTTCTTTGGACACATTTTCCTTCCACCTTTCATGAATGTCTGGAACTTTTCAAGGCTTACAGATAGATCATGAGGGCTCTGGTAAATATGAATAGATGCCTGCAACTTCACTGCTCCAACATTTGAATTTGCCCAAATAGTTCTCATTCACTAATTTGTATTGGAACAGATGGGACAATAGACTATCTTCGCATGTAATATATGGTAGAAAGAAATCACTGTACATAAAGAGGCATAACCTCATTCTTGTTATTAGTTTATGTTAATTTTTTTTTTCTTAATGGTTGTTATTAAATCAAGAGGAAGATTTTTTAAAGATAATAAAAAGGATTTAAGTATATCTATCGCTCATGAGATTTGAACTTAAAACCTCCAACAAAACATATATTGTGTGTCGAACATGACTGATGTGCAAGTTAATGCCATTTTCTATTGGACTAGACCCTGTTTAACATGCTTGAGGTTTTTTTAGGCACTTTTTTTTTCTTTTTTTCTTTTTTTCTTTTTTAATGCAATTGACTAATTCAAAGCAAATTGTATATAACACTTTCATGGGAATGAATAAGACATAAGAGCAAATTATATAATCTTTGCCCAAATTAGGGATCTGAGTTAAAGCCATTTGTGTGGAACAAATCGCCAGTATTTGATTAAAGGACATTATTGAGTGATGGTGGTACGATAAGGATCAATTCCATCATATATCTAACTAAGTGGGGTTTGTTTGGTGCATTACAGGATAACTAATATTAAAACCATATCATAGTGGGGGCATCCAACTTAATTATTCACATTAATTAATACTTCGAATTCCTATTCTCCTATTATCTGTTTATATGTGTGTTTTGTCTAATAAAATTTCTTTTTGGCAACCCATTAATTGATTTCTTATAGAAAAACCTTATACATTACTATGTATGCACTTGCATTTCAAATTAAAATATGTTTCCAACAATTGAAGACAACCGATATAAAGTCTAATTGAGGTGGCGAGGGGAGTGTGTAAAACAGAGAAATTTTTGTGTGAAGTTGTTGCTATTACATGTCAGTAATGAGTGATAGAATAGTTGAATTACTGTCACGTGGCAAAACAGTTGAAATTAAGATAGGTCATGAATTCGATCTCACTCGATAGATTAAAACGAGATCTATGCATGTGTTGCTCAGATTGAAGACCAAAAAGATTAAGAAGAGGAGTAATTTATCCTAAGAGATGCTTATGATACATTGCATAATAATAATATATGGTTTATGAGAAAATGATGCTCGGCAATGGGGACATTGACACTATCTGGCCACTGGCCAATGACCAGTTTGTCTACGCTAATAGACAAGTCGTAGAAAAACTGCAGTTTAGACTACAAACAACGCATGAGCTTCACATTATGGAGCAATGCCAATTATGTGTTCATTTTTGGCCCCCATCCTCCAAAACTTTTTGGTCCTATTTCTTTTTGTTTTTTGTTTTTGGTCTCAATGGGAAAGGTGGGCTCTTATTGTTTGTTTTCTTTGATATTGCCCATGGTGCGGTTGTTTATTTATTTATTTTATATAGATAGTTATATTATAGAGAAATTGAATCAGTAAAATATGTTGTGTCCATATTGAGAAGCTCAATTTGAATTTATTTTTTCAACAATACAACAAATTTTCGTCCATAAAATTTGAAACCGAGACTTAATTTAACAAAATAAAAACTAAACGTCATTAGCTCAAACGGCCATTAGCAAATGCCAGGTCTAGATTGAAGTTCGCTTTTCTTCGATTTTCATTTCGGGTTAGTTTATTATTTGTAATATGGCCCCTTTAATTAAAAAATAAATAAACAAACAAATTGTCAATGAATCAATAGGTGAAAATTGGATGAAAGAAAAAGAATGTTTTTTTTTTTTTTTCTTGTGGCATGAGGGCAAAGTGCCAAATCACAATTGAAGAGGATACTTGAGAAGCCAGCCTAGCCGTTGAATGCAACTCACCACCTACAAAATCCCAAAAAAAGAAAAAAAAATTCCAAGTTCTCCCCAAACGTGGAGCATGCTTGACCCCCGAACGGACGGCCAAGATTGTCTGGTTAAACGGAACCAGCCGTAGGATTGGCTGTGCGTTTGTAATCTCCCACGCACGTTGTTACAGCTCACGCGCGGTTGGTGGACGTGGGTGGGGTGTCCAGGTTGGCCTAACGTGAGACCAATCATGTTCCTTGGTCGTACCACGTCAGCGAGAAAGACAGCAACGCCACCTGTGACCCCAACACACATAAAAACACTCTCCGCTCAATTCCCAACGTTCTCCAACAGTAACCTCCCTTCCGGCTGTTTTCAATCATTGGTTCCTTTGTAATTTACCATTTTGCCCTCACAGTTCATTCTATTGGTTTATGTTGCCTGACCATAATGCCCTTTTGCTTGCTTGCTCTGTTATTTGACTTCAACTTCATGCTGATGAATAATGATAAAACCCAACTTTTCTTGAATTTGATAATCCAGTACCATCAAAATCAAAATCTAAAAAATTAAAGGAAAAAAATAAAAATTTCTCTTTTTTAAATTTTTTTATAAATTATTTATTGCTTTGACACATCACAATGGTGTTTTGAGTAAGCTCCATCTAGTGGATGATAATATACCCTACAATTAGTTTTCTTTGTTTGGTATTGATAAGAGATATATATATATATCTTCATCTGATTGTCTATCACACCCACTATTTGAAGGAGATTGACAATGAAATAAGATAATCCACTAACCAAAAAATTGAGTGAAACATTGATTCATACTTTTGATCATCCTTGTAAATTGTAGAAGATTGGGGTCATGCTAGAGAATTTCTGATTAAATATGATACATGACAAATGTTGGATGGAATATGAATACTTCACTTGTTTTTTTAAATTCATACTCTTAGGTTTGGAGATAAAATGCTACACTAAAGCTATAATATCTTGCCAATTGAGTCTAGTCCAATAAAAAATGGCATTGACTTGTAGACCAGTGATTTTAGGTTTGAACTTTTATGGCACATTGATCAAAAAATTGAGTGAAACATTGATTCATACTTTTGATCATCCTTGTAAATTGTAGAAGATTGGGGTCATGCTAGAGAATTTCTGATTAAATATGATACATGACAAATGTTGGATGGAATATGAATACTACACTTGTTTTTTTAAATTCATACTCGTAGGTTTGGAGATAAAATGCTACACTAAAGCTATAATATCTTGCCAATTGAGTCTAGCCCAATGAAAAATGGCATTGACTTGTAGACTAGTGGTTTTAGGTTCGAACTCTCATGGCACATTGACAGTGTGTGTGTGTGAGAGAGAGAAAACTCATCTCCCCTAATATCGCTCGTATAAAATTCAAAAAAAAAAAGCTATAAGATCTTATGCTTCGTGTCCGATTGTACCATATTCATGTTCATGACCTTTTGATAGTGTTATTCAATTTTTATTTTGTTGAAAGAGGTGCATGAATTCAAATCTCATATATGACAATTTTTGAATGAAATACAATAAAAAAAAGTGTACCTTATTCATCGGCTGCCATCCTTCTTGCCATTAATTTGAAATTAGTTAGAGCAAATAAAAACTACAAACTGCCTGGATATTTCACTTCTTCCATTTTAAGGTTTTGGAAGTTGATTGAAATTATTATAAAGAGTGTATCTTTAAATCATTTATAATTAAGAAAATTGTACTCGTACGTACGTCAAGGAAGATGAGAATAGTTTGAGTTAAAATCTTCCTGCAGGAAACTAACAACAACCCTTGTACTCCGAAGTACAGAATGACCCAAATTTGCTGCTTGATATGGCATTGGCATGCTGAGACTTAGAAAACTAGCTTCAATATAGGTGAGTTTTATTCAATTTCAACTCTTTTTTATTTTTCCTTTTAAGACAAGATGAGAGCTCCATACCTCAAAGCAAATGTGAAGGGCAGTAGAAGCCTCCACCATTGTTAAAACAATATTTGTTTCTAAAGTTCCAATGCCACTTTTTGAGTGAAACACAAAATGAAAGGAATTGTTTGAAGAAAAAAAATGAATGGAATTACATTTTTAAAAATCTTCATATTTATTATTTTGTATTTTCTTTAAGCAAACCCTTTAATTATAGTTTTCAGAACGTGTAATTTTTTTTTTTATCAGTGGGTGAGAGGGATTCTAACTTGGGACTTCTTCTAAAATTAGAAAAAGAAATAACACTAAATTGCTAGGTAGTTTTAGAACTTGAAGTTGAGACATAATGAATTGACATAAATAAGTTTTTTTTTTTAAAGAAAAATCAAAGTTGACAATATCCCTCCAAAGAATTGCCAGAAATCATTTACAACATAATTCATGACATCTTATACTTGAGCTTGTATAAGAAACAAACAAGTGTCTTCTCGCTTATACGTACGTGTAAGCTTTTCTATAATATGGTTAACCGTATTTGCAAATAATTCTAATTTTATATCTTGGTAGCCGTTCAACCGACAATGCAAAAATAGATTAACCCCAAACACAGTTAACCGTATTACAAGAAATCTGATGTAAATTATCTTAGTTGTTAATAACCGATTCAACGGTCGAAAAACTTGTCCTCATTAGAACGATAATCGAGAATAATTTTCCCTCCAAACCTCAGAGCTGCATAAATGGTATCCAAAAAAAATTCAAATTACTCAGATTTGAGCAAAATCCATGAACTTGTTTGCCATAATCTCATTATAGAGGAGAGAAAATCCTAATGTCCTTTTTCTTACCTTAACAAGAGAAATTCTGACAGCTTCCTACTTCACAAGATAAGCGAAGTGAGATTATAAATAAGTAACTCCGTTTCCCTCCATCATCATTTAGAATTCAAAACTGCTAGTAACTTCCATAGTGGCAGTTTAGTCATTTCCTCACTATTGCCCATCTCTATCCATTTCATTGAGATACCCCTTTCTCTCTCTCTCTCTCTCTCTCTCCCGGAATTCTCGAAACCAAACCAGAGCGTGTCACCAACTCTCTGTAGCTTTCATGCTCAACTATCACCAAGTGCTTCTAATCTAAACCACTATCAATATATTCCTATACTCTCTGCTCTGTTCCTATCTTCTCTTCTTCGTTCCCTCTCTATCATAATTCCATCTTGAAATTTTGTTTGCATTGCCCCTTTGGTCTCAGTATCAATCAGTCTTTGAGTGCTTATTTAAATCACTTAAGCCCAAATTCAAAAACCCAAGTTTGGAAACTGCCTAATCTCTGTAAGTTCTATATCTCTTTGATCTTTAATGTCTTGTTCCTTGGAAATTTGAATTCTTTAACCTCTGTTGCTTATTGTATTGGGTATCTGCTCTTTCTTTGTTAATGTTGCTTATCCTTTTCTGGGTCTGTTTTGAGAATTTTGTATGTATTGATGATCTCAAGAAAATTGGGTTTACTTGGAAAATGTGAGTGCACAAGAACTTAAAGCCATGAGCCTGGCAGTGTGTTCTCTATTGATACTTGAGATTGAGAAAACAATATTGACTGCAGTTGACTTGTTATACAATTTGGTATAATTGGTCAGGTTTCCTTCTTCTTTTGAAGTAATTTGGAGCCACATAACTTTTGTTGTTCAAGGCTGTGAGCCTGGTAAAGGGGTTATCTTCTACTGCTTGTAGATGCTTGGTTATTCGACGAATTTTGCAGAACTGTTGTCATGTTGAGAGTTATGCATTGTGGGTCTAGAACGATATGTATTATGATTTAGAAATTTCATGACTGAAATTATGGGAACTCTTTCTTGGAGGCTATATTGGGATAATTTCAGAATGAAAATTTTGATGGTTGGTTAGTCATGCCACAGATTGTGTTTTTACGCTTTCTTTTGGATGGGGGCTCCTCATCTTGTTATTTGGTGCATAGGGAAATAGCAGAATAGACCCTTACCCTTTTGAGGATATGATCAGTAGTTGAACATGATAGACATCTTATTACATTTCTGGCTGTTGCATGCCTGCCCATGTGGGTTTTCTGGATGTTTTATGTATTGTTATTTCCTGCCCCTCATTATGTCTTGCTGGTATTTACTAAAGTTGCATCATCGATGTCAATCGAAATGGCATAAAACATAAAGTTTCTTGGTTTTTTGTGTTTTTGGTTTCCTCTTTTTTTCTGAAAAGGTTCATAATTCGCTGTCAATATTAGTTTTGTGATTTGTGGAGTAAGCCAAGTGTTATGCTCTTTTGCATTGTGGAGATACTGCCCGACTTTGCTAACTTTTGTATTTCTGTTCTTTAGTATTTTCCGAATGGAGTCTGCAAATGGGATTACTTCCGAGCAAGAGAGTTGTGCTATTGAGGAAAAACATGTGGATATGCCAGTACCGGATTTGAACAATGATGGTAAGAATGATAGTAATGTAGAAGTTCATGCCGTGAATGGAATATCTGAACCTGGAACAAAAGATGAAGGCATTAACTCTTCTGGAGTTGCAGTTGAAGCCTCTGCAACTGTTCCGCCTGGTAAAAATTTTAAAACCGCGAAGGTACTGCAAGCATGCCAAAGTTCTTTGTCTTTTGAGCTATTTCTCTTATAAATTTGCATGACACAGACATGTACTAAATGCACCTTTTCTCTCCTACTTGTGTTTTATGTTCAGGATCCTCATGCTCCGAACAATGGTTTTTCAAAGAGCAAACTGGCCAAGGATAAACCTAACTTGAAAGGCATAACTCAGATTCCTCGTAACCAGAGGGCAATACTTTCTCAGAGCCTTTCTTTCCCGTCAAGAGGATCTCGTGCAGATCATATGAAGAAGAGCATTGATGTGTACCCAGTGAAAGCAGTAGCCAAACATGCTCGAGGAAATGCAACCAAAGCTGAGGCCCCTTTTTCAGTTTCTCGCTTGAATCCAAATAGGCGGGCATCTACAGGAGTGCATTCAAAGGAAGAGAACACAACTGGTGGAGGTTCCTTTAAGAGGAATTCTTTAGCAGCAATACCTAGCGTTAGATGCTCTTCAGTAAGGCTTTTTCGATATGTTGCATCTACATTTTACTCTTCTTAATATCTTTCTTAATGTAGCTAATCTCCATTCTTAATTGTGTCAGTCTGGGAAGCCTGGTTCTGTGAATACATCTGCTAATAGCCCATCTAATGTGATCCGGTAGGTTACAACCTCTATTCAGTACAGGAGTATACTTAACCTTTCTTATTTTTCGTTCAAATAAATAGGTCGATTTTACTGTTCCATTTTTCTTCTGCATGATTTGTATATGGGAAAAAAAATGCATCCGTGGCAACTGCTGAATCATTCATTTTATGATGTTTTATGTAATTGCAGAGCAGTTGATCAAAGTTTAAATCCTGTAAAAACAACTCTGCCGATCAAAGAGGATGATGATGCTCATTCCATTGCTTCGTATGTCTCATATCCTAGAACGTTATTCTTATTGTTGCTCATCTATTTACTGCCAGTATCTGAGTTATCCAGTCTGTTTTATTCACACTTCCATGTATACTGTATTTTATCAGAAGTACTACGCCAAGTGGACGGCGGAGCAGTGGTTCTTTTGCCTTCAGGTTGGATGAACGTGCTGAGAAACGGAAGGAGGTTGCTTACACATACCTTTAATATCTGGTTGATAGTTTTTGATAAAGTTTCTTGGTTTACCACTATTCCTTAAAACTTTTAGGATGTGAGACTGCAATTGTTTTGTATTCTAAAACATCCCCTCACAAGTGGGTCTCTCTCCGCCATTGGAGACCAACATGTGGAATTCCACTTATTGGGAGGATGGGTTTGGGGGGAATTCACACAGGATCTCCTGCTCAAATACCATGATAAAGTTTGCTGATTCTATTCCTGGAAGCTTAAGCTTTAGGATGTGGGCCAACTAGTGTTATATGTTGACAGTTTTATTTTCAATGTGTAACACTAATCAAACTTATTCATTGTTTATTAGTTCTTTGAAAAGCTAGAAGAGAAGATACAGGCTAAGGAAGCAGAAAAAAATAACTCACAGGCAAAATCGAAGGTGTGGGACTAATTTACAGCACTTATTATATTATACCTTTGCCGTTTATATATTAATTTGTTTATTTCTATTTTCCTGTTTCATATGTGTTCCATTTCAGCATATTCACTCTGTTTTCTATATGCTTACAGGAAAGCCAAGAAGCAGAGATCAAGAAACTAAGGAAGAGCCTAACATTCAAGGCAGCACCCATGCCAAGTTTCTACAAAGAGCCTCCTCCGAAAGTTGAACTAAAGAAGGTAACTGTTAAGAGTTTATCTGATGCGAAAAATCCTACTATTTCCAGATCTTTTCACAAGCTGAAGTTCATTTTTCATCATCATTTTTTTTTTTCAATTTTCCATTGCTACTCTCCTCTTCCACCTCTGCTTCACTTTGGTTGCTTTTGTATAGCAACATTGTGTGTGACTCTTCTCTACCAATCAATTTAGATACCAACTACTCGTGCAAAATCTCCAAAGCTTGGAAGGAACAAGAGCTCCATTTCTTCATTGAACAACTCTTCCGAAGGTGGTGGGGCGTGTCTTAGCCCTCGTCTGAATCGAGAACTGGATAACTCAAAGAAAGCATTAAAGACTAAAAGCGAAAAAGATGTCATAGACTCAAAGAAGCCTATTAGGAAGTCCCACAGCAGGCTTCACTCTCAGGAAAATGTTGCTACCAAAGTTGAAGCAAAATCTGTTAAGTCCCCACCAAAGGCTATTGGAGAAGAAAGAAAATACCACAAAACATGCACCACAGAAACAGAAGAAGGTCAGGATCAATCTGGGCTTCTTTCTGAGTGCAAAGAGAAGATAGAGTCTGAAGTGAATGTTGCCGAGATCGAAGAACCAGTCCTCAGTGCACCTACTCCCGATATCATGCCTCATGAAGTTAGCATTGGAGCTTAATGACATATTTGTGATGCATTCTGTTCATAGTCTTGAAAGTTTTAAGTTTCATATTGTTGTGAATATAGATATCATGGGATGCTCCTTAAAGTCATATATAATGTAGTTTATATGTGAGTTTTTTTTTTCCAATCATTAAATTACTGTGGAAGTTTGAAGACATTATGCTGTCTTCAGCAATCTATGGATTATGAGTCTTTCATATATAGTTTGATGATTGCCATTTCTCCCTACATGTCAAGTTTAGTGTGCAATTGATGATTCTCCACTCAAAAGGTTTTGTGTTTTTAAATTGTATTTGATGGAAATTGTGGCCATTTTTTGCTTCTTTTGTTTTGTTTTTTTGGGAAGCCATTCTTAAGACACTCTGAGTTTCTTGAACCAGTGATGATGCTTGTCATGAAATGAACACCATGAGCTCAAGTTCAATCCTGGACGGATAACCATTCCTAAGGAAATTTCAAGCACAATATTGCTTGTAACCAAATCATCAGTAATTGCAAAATAAATTAAATTAAGGAGAATTTATTTGAATTCTCTTGTTTGGAAGAAATGAAGAATTTTATTATTTCTTAACTTATTCATACCATTGTTAAAGAAACACAACTAAATTGGCCAATCTGAAAGGAAATTAAGGGCTGCCGATGCCGTTGAAAATATCACTCATATGCCAAATAGTTATCGCAAAAGTATCTTTCAACTTGGTCCACCTTTTACCAAGAAAATCTTTGTAAGAAGGGGTTGTTCGGCCTAGGTCCATTTGGGCTAGTTTTTAGTTTTCTTCTCTTTTTAGGATTTGGGCCCCCATACAAAAATGGACACAAACAAAAACAAATTTCCTTCCAAATTCTAAAACAATTTTTTTTTCAGTGCATGGGGTGCCCTTACTAACCCGAGGGGTATAGGGCATGATGAATGCAAACTCACACGCTACATGACTGTGATTTCACTAGACCTATTTTACCCGCCTAGCTTAAATTCCGTCACAAAGCAATCACTTTAATAACATAAAAGCCCACACTACAAGTTTCGGCATTTTAAAACAATTACACATTGCGCCAGCTATTATAGCTTGTCTATGATAGTCTAGTTCATGTATTTAAAAATTTGAAGAAAACAATCATAAAGTTACGAATCGTTACACTATTGGCCCTCTCTATAAGAATAACCGTGAAGTCAAATGTTGCTTTTTTGACGTAGCACTTGGAAGGCGAATTCTTAGCTGATATGGAAGTCATATAGATTTTAGGGTTATGAATGAAATTAATAGATTACCATATAGTTAAGGAATAATAAGTTCTCTTTTAAAGAATGAAGAATTGCCTCTGCTTGATCAATCTGGCATTCTCGAGTCAGTGTGACCCAAAATGTTTACAACTATCAGATCCCTTTAAAAAGGGTCCCCGAGGGGTATAGGGCATGATGAATGCAAACTCACACGCTACATGACTGTGATTTCACTAGACCTATTTTACCCGCCTAGCTTAAATTCCGTCACAAAGCAATCACCTTAATAGCCTACAAACCCACACTACAAGTTTCGGCATTTTAAAATAATTTTTCATACGAGAGTCTAAACACAACGAGAGGATGAAAACCTACGTGCAAAGCAAAGTTGAAATCCATCGGGACTTAAAATCTTTGGGCCAATTACACATTGCACCAGCTATTGTAGCTTGTCTATGATAGCCTAGTTCATAAATTTTAAAATTTGAAGAAAACAATCATAAAGTTACGAATCGTTACACTATTGGCCCTCTTTGTAAGAATAACCATGAAGTCAAAATGTTGCTTTTTTGACGTAGCACTTGGAAGGCGAATTCTTAACTGATATGGGAGTCATATAGATTTTAGGGTTATGAATGAAATTAATAGATTACCATATAGTTAAGGAATAATAAGTTCTCAAAAAAGAACTTAAGAATTGCCTCTGCTTGATCAATCTGGCGTTCTTGGGTCAGTGTGACCCAAAATGTTTACAACTATCAGATCCCTTTAAAAAGGGTTAACAAATTAAATGTACATGTTATGATTTTGTCAGTAATAAAAACTCCAAATTGCCACATTTTACATTAGGGTTTTTCCCACAACATGTTCCATGTAGTTGCCAATTAGAATCTTAATAATATTTTCTTCATGATTCTTGGTACTTATATATGCTAAACCAGTGGTTAGGGAATAAGCTTTGCTTTGACCCCAAACAAAGCAGACCTGGATAAAAGAAGATTCCTCATTCCCACTGCTGGCACAGCTTGTCAAGTTTTGAGAAAAGATCTGGGGAATTTTATTCTGACAAAAAAAAAAAGATTTGGGAATTTAAGTGCCAGTGAGAAAGCATGTTGCCTGGTTTGTGAGAGAAATGTAAGTTTTGTCCAAAACCTGCCCCATGAAAACAAGGCTTGTAATTGAAACTTATGTCAGATAGTGTACATGTTTTCTTCTTCTTTGACCATAGGCACACACATTTGAGGTCAAAGCGAGTGAAGCACGCACATTTTTGTGTGGAAAAAAATGAAGCTACGGTCACATCTCACATATTTAAAAAAGTTCGGTTTTTCTTCATTGCAGTGCTGAACTTTTCACACCGTCTCGTTTTTTGGAGTGGTAATTGGGTCTTCATAATTTCAAGCACAAACACTTTGAATTGGATGCAACACCACGCCAAGCATAAACATTACGAAGCACATGAATTTTTTTTTAATTTTAAAAAAAAAAACCGAATAAAGCTTAAGCTTCCAATAAGGTCTAAATCTGTAACATCAATCCTTTGTAAATTCTTTGTCCCTTTTTAAGTTTTAACACACACGAAAAGCCATGTTGCATTATAACCCAAGCCTTGGGTTATGCCAAATGTCAAAATAAGACGTTTCAACTTTTAAGCTTTTAGCCAGGGCCATATCTAGCTATCACTGTTGCCAAAGGGTCCTACTTACTCCCACATAATTTTAGCCCAGTCCATCTTCTCCTAGCCCTGACTGCTTTATTTATTTATTTAATAATTAAGTATGAGGAACTTTCTTCTTTATACTTCTATTTTCTTTTATTTCGTTCTCATAATGTTGCGTAGTCTGGTAATAAGAACTGTCTATCTTTTAGATCCCTTCAAAAATTATTTTTGCAAAAGATCAACCAAATTCGAAAATTGTTTAGTTTCAAATTAGGTAATTGACTCTGTGTTTTGGTGGATATTGAATCATAACATTGTTATTCAAATAGCTAAACGATGCTTTAGTTGATTTTTTACACATAATTTTTAAATGATTATGTCGAATTGAACGATCTCGATTATCATACAGCAGTGCGCATAAAGAATAAAAAATAATAATGTAGAGAGAGAAAAAGTACATAAAATATTCACTTTTACACGTGATTTGTAAATGATGATCTCAATTACCATACAGCATTACGTAAAAGGAATAAGAAAGAATCGGGTAGAAAGAGAAAAAGTACAGAATATGTAGCATGAAAATGAACAACAAATTCCATTTCAATGAAAATATGGTCTCTCAATTAATTCCCCAAAGAAAAAGAAAGAAAACAAAAATGGCACCTAGCTTTGAAAGGGTCCTACTAGCACATAGTCTTAAACAATATGAGTTGGTAGCCGTCACCGATCAATGATGCTAAAAGGGTTGAATTTATTGGTGCAAAGCCCATTTTTATTACACAAACGATGCTTTAGTTGATTTTTTACACATAATTTTTAAATGATTATGTCGAATTGAACGATCTCGATTATCATACAGCAGTACGCATAAAGAATAAAAAATAATAATGTAGAGAGAGAAAAAGTACATAAAATATTAACTTTTACACGTGATTTGTAAATGATGATCTCAATTACCATACAGCATTACGTAAAAGGAATAAGAAAGAATCGGGTAGAAAGAGAAAAAGTACAGAATATGTAGCATGAAAATGAACAACAAATTCCATTTCAATGAAAATATGGTCTCTCAATTAATTCCCCAAAGAAAAAGAAAGAAAACAAAAATGGCACCTAGCTTTGAAAGGGTCCTACTAGCACATAGTCTTAAACAATATGAGTTGGTAGCCGTCACCGATCAATGATGCTAAAAGGGTTGAATTTCTTGGTGCAAAGCCCATTTTTATTACACAGAAAATAACTTAACACTGGTAAAATTTTGGGTTTCTTTATCTTTTATTTAGGTAGACTTTAAGCTTCCACTTTTTTCATTCTTTTTTTTTTATTTTCTTCATGGGCACGAGTTGAATGGTATATAAAATTTTGCTTTATTTTTTTAAAAATAAAAGGCAAACAATACATGTTCCACGTGGGTTCTAATCAGTGATCACTCCACTTCTAAAGGATCTTGCTACAGTTAAGGCTCTGTGTAGGTGGCTAATATTTATTCCTTTTTTCATAATCAGTTTTTTTTTATGTCCCTTAAGCTTGATTAGAAGAAACAAAAAGAAGATTGTTATGATTATAATTAATAGATGAGCATGCAGGAAGAAGCGTTTTCTTTTATTTAATTAAACAACAACCAATAATTGACCACAATCTGTTGTTTTTTCTTTCTCATTTTATTACAGAGTGACAATGAATACCAACTAATCATACCATGAAAGACCACCAACCAACTTGTTCTGTCTATATTGAATCCTCCTGCAACTACCAACTCAATCTCAACTATTTTTTATTTCTGAATTGATGCCAAAGCAAGTTGAGGTCTACATTCATATAAGTTACAGAAGCTTTATTTGTTTATTTTTGCTTTCAAGAATTTTGGGCAACAAAAATAATGGTAGATTTGATTTGATTTCACTTTCAAAACAATTGCATGCATTCTTTTATGCATTTGTGAATGAAATTGTATCCGAAGCTAATTTTGAAGTGCATGATAATTTCACGAAGAGAAAACATTTGATTTGAGTAAAGTTCGACCTAATATTAACTAGTTCTTTGTTCAGTAGTATTTTTCTTCCGTATTTGAAGAGGTCGGGAGTTCTAATCTTCATCTTTCCTTGATCAAAAAGTTCAACCTCGTATATCAGATACACCAAATAATTATTCGTTCATGTAGCTCAAAAGCCACAACTTCAACCGCAGTTTGAATGGTATGTATTTATGGTAAGGGTTGAGTAAGAATTCCACTCAAAGGAGTTATATTGGAAAAATCCTCATGACATGATTTTGGAAGAATACCAAATTAGGAAACAGGATGAATCCAGAGGGCAACCAATTTTATCCCCAACCAGACAATCAGTTTTTTTCTACAAATTCTCCAGGTTTGCTCCTATGTCATTATCATATCTCAGTGATTAATCCATTTCAGCAACTCAATTATCGCTTGCTTGGTTACTTAATTGCACAATAATACTTTCATTATTATCATATCTTGTTCCTTAATTGCTCTAAAAAATGTCCTTCATATCCCAAAAAGAAAGCAGAACAAAACCTAAAACACCTAGGTTGTTGCTTTCCTTATAACACAAGTTCAAATTATAAGTCATATTCTATATGCATGCCTTTCATGCCTATTTTCTACTCAGCCTAGTTTTAGACCGATTCGCACGGTGACACGTGGCGATCCCAAAAGAGCACGAGAATTTTGCTTGGTTGCACCGCAAGCAAACATCATGTTGAAATTTGATTCACAAGCAATGTCACAGAAGAGAAAGGGCAACCAAAGCATTAAAGAAAAAATAATTATTAAAAAAATGAATATGCCGTGCTAATTACAGTTTTGATAACAAATCAAGAGGGTGGAAGACTCTTTTCGTTGAATCAAAAGAAATCCTGCAAACCAAACGCTCCCTCTGTTTATACATTCATTCATTCATTATAATATAAATGCAGAGACTCGTGATCCTAACACTGCATATATATGATTTAAACAAAACTCTGTTTACCCAAAAACAAACGTGTTTGAAACAAATTACAATGAACGCAGAGAAGGGAACTGTATTTACCATTATCAATAACTGTTTACAGTGAAAATATTTTTTTTTTCCTCTTTTTTTTTCATTTCATTTTTTTTTTTTTTGGGTTTCATTGGGGGAGAGAGAGAGAGAGAGAGAGAGAGCATTTTCTTCATTGACAAGTAGAGAAGTGAGAATCATGTCCAAAAGCTCCAAGCATTCTACAAGCTACTTCCATCAACTTTCCTGTTAAGCACAATCAGGTGAATGAGAAAAAGCACTTAGTCAACCGCAGAACAAGTAATCTGTCTATACATCACATGCACATAAAATAATATAAAAAAGGAACCACTTGGGCAAGCATAAAATTTCAATAAAAAAAATAATATTAAAAAAACAAAAAAATTAAATATTTTTTTAAAAGAAAAGAATAATGAGGGTCAGCTAGTGAGGCCAGCTGACTTTTAAATTAAGAGCATGGAATTAATTAGGGACAGGCTGTGTTTGGTGGCATCAAATTTTGTGGTGGGTCATAATAACAAATGGGTCACCAGCTGGGCAAAGCCAGGCTTGATTGCTTGGCATCTCAGAGTGGTGTCACATGGACTAAGACCCATTACATTTTTCATATGATTTGGAATCACACTACCTATGCTGTGTGAGGGGGACTGGGACCCTCTTTACTTTCTCCTCATAACAAAATCCGTGACATCAATTTGGCTTTGCACCGACACTTTGCAGCCTAACACTATTCCCAACCCTCCCCTCCTCCTAAATACAACCCTAGGAATATATTAATATGCTATTATGCCGAACTTAGAACCTCATATGCACGGGTAAATATTCTCGGTCACGACTCATTTCTAGCTCTTACAACAAATACCGTATTTCTTGTTGTCTATACGTATTTATATTATATATAGGTGACTAATAACCGTTGATTGATGTGAGTCTCACGATAATCTACTGTTCAATATTCTCAATGCTAGAAACTTATTTAGGGTAGTTGGCTCTCTTTCTAGGATATGCCTATGCTGCCTACAACTTAGTGACAGACCATATAAACCCCAATTAATCAATCAATGATCACATCATCATCCTAATCATTTGTGACAGTGGGAATAAATTGCCCCTAAGCAATACCAGCCCATTTGTGAACTCAACCCACTCCACCATGAACATCAATCCTAATCTAGCCTAAAAATAAATGCATTTTCACCACCCTAATTAACCCATTTACCTGTCGGTCCAAATTTTAGCATCTCAGAAACATTTACAAACCTAATTACTCAATCAATCAATATCAGCATAACAGATAACAAACACCAATTCAATCAATTTGCCCAAAAATAACAACACAAAAAACTCTCCTGGATTATGGGAGGTCCACTAAAAGCTTCGAAAACCAGAATATCAACAATGGAGGATGGGAGTGTGATCTAACTTAGGGTTCTTAGCTGCTAAATAGGGAGGGAAAAAGGGCAGAGTGTTAAGAAAATAACTGAAAAGGGTAAACTTCCCGAACACATGAACTCGAGTGCATTTAGCACTCAAAATTCAATGCCCAATTTGTAAACGGATACTCAAAATTCAACCCACTCCAGTCTCCACCATGAACATCAATCAACAGTAAATCACTCAAAATTAGTCAGCACATCAAATAAAAAAACACCAAATTCAAGCAATTAGTCAAAAACAAGAACAAAATATTAATGCACAGAAAGATAAATAAAATAAAATAAAAATAAATGAACATACCTCTCCTGGGCTTAGCAGCAACCTTAACAACAGCCGCCGTTTTCTTCTCGGCCTTGACCTCCTCCTCCTCAAACGGAAACAGAACCCCATCAATCCCCTGCACCGAAATCCTCCCGTCCGTATAAATATCGGGGTCAAACAAGTACGCCGAAACATCGCCCTGACCGAATTTCACCGAACCATCGGCCTCCTGCGCCACCACCTTATGCGGCAGCCTCAGCGTATCGTACCGTACCTTCCCGAATCTTCTCACCGAGTTGTACATGCTCTCCTCCGTCTGATACTCCGGTATGATGTGGTAGTACACAATCTGCTCCGGCGCCCCCGGTTCGCTCAACTGGTCGGTCGTCAGCTTGGCCATGGCCTCATCGTTCGGAGCAAGCACCGTCAACACGTAGCCCTCTGAAACTAATCGGCCCATCTCGGTCGCTAGAGAAGTCAAATTGACCAGAATATCGGCCATCTCGTTGTACCCGCCGTAGTGCAGCGAAACGGGTAGAACTGGCGGAGCCCCGGCTGGAACCGGTGCTGGTTTTTTCAGGCGGTGGGTTCTCGGGTCGACCTCGGGTGCTCCCTCGGGTAGAATGGCGGATATGGTACGGAGATTCCGCCTCCGGTTGAAGTCGTCCTCGACGGAACGCGGGATCAGGAGGCGCTCAATACCGTGGATGACGCCGTCGGGTCGGGTAACGTCGTCGGGTCGGATGATCTGGGCCGAATTGACCGATTTGCGGCTGTTGTTTTTGTGGGTGGCCAGGTGGAGGTGCTCGTGGCTGCTGCAGAGGGTCTGGTGGTGGCGACCCGACCCGGGATGAGGCCACTGGGTGGAGCCGATGCGGTTGGGGATAATGTGGAACATGAGGAGGGTTTGGAGGGACTTGAGGTTGCCGGGTTCGAGCAGGAAGCGCTTGAATTCGGGGTCCAGCTGGCGCTCGAGAGCCTCATTTTTCGGGGCGAAGATGGTGATGTTGTGCTTGCCCACGGCCTCCTCGAGGGTCTGGAGTAGGAGGGCCTTCTCGACGAGCTCAGCGAGCTCAGTGTAATGCGAGTCGAGGAGGGCGACGAGGACGGAATTGGAGTTGATCTGCGCTGTCGTTGTGGCTGCCGCCGCTTTCGTAGATGATGATGATGTTGTTGGAGAGTGAGATTTGGGTTGTGGGTTGTTGGGCAATGCGGCGAGCGTGGAAGTGGAGAGAGAAGCAATGGCGAAGACGATGAGGAAGAAGATGGAGCGACCATAGATCTGAGAATCCATGGTGCTCAGTTCAGCTTTGGGCTGCGTTTTTACTTTGCTTTTTCTGGCGAAGTGGGGTTTTGAGACGGTGGAAGCAAATGAAGAGAGGAAGAATGCGGAGACACACAAGAAGAAGAAGAAGAGAGGGTTGGGAGAGACTTGTGTGGGATTAAAGGCTTAGAAAAAGGTGAGCGAGAGACGAGTTAATTTTGCGACAGGCTGGAGGTGGGGACCACACGGCGACTTCCTCTCTCTCTCTCTCTACTAGCCACCTGCTTACAGAGAGAGAGTGGCAGGCTTAGGCTTGGCTTCAGATACTTGTTCTTCTTCTTCTTCTTCTGTGAAACTGAGCCTGAAGCTGAAGCTGAAGCCGCGCCATTTTTTATTATGTTACAGAAGAAAATGTTCTTTTCTTCTTTTATTTTTTTGTTTTGTTTTTGTTGTCTTTTGATCTAATTAATGTTATTTATAGAAAATGTTGGGGAAGAAAGATGTGGGGTAGTTGTCAAAATAGTGGAGCCATTTGGCGGGCTATTGTTTTTTTCTTTGTGGATTTTAGTTTTCACTGTGTCGGTTGATGCATTATAGCTAGGCCCTGTTTGCTTGCGTGGCAACTTTAAGAAATAAACGCTTTTGTTTGTCCATATATATATATACGAATAAACCTATTATCTTTTAATCACGTTGCATTGTATTCAACTTCAATTTTCATCTTTACGTTTTTCTTTTCTTCTTACTCATTTTCTAATAAAACAACAACCCTTGAGAAAAAAATCTTCTTTAAAAAATAAAAAGTATTTAAATACAAAAACAAAAATTTCTTCTTCTTTTTTTCCATATCAATTAATCATCGTTGTATGTGGCTAAGCACCATCGAAGTCTTGTGTTGAAAAATTGTACGAAGCTCAATGAAAATGCCAACCAATTTCAGAGTCATTTTCAATTTAAATGTTTATATATCAGTTATTGTACCTAACTTACAATCTAATAAATGTATACCCTACACATATTTGCTTTATATCATGAAGTTTTTCTCCACACACAAAACAAAAATGTATTCAATAATTGATCATATTCTGGTATCATACAATAATTTCTCGTCACATAACTACCGAAACGAATATGAAAGAGTAATTGCAATTCCACCCTCTTATTACATCCATACTCTCTCTTTCCCTCTCATTTATAATGTTTTGGTTAAGGGTTGTTTGAGGGGTAATTAGAGAGTGCTTAATCGAGAAAGAGTTGGTATAAGTTGGAGTCAAGTGCGTGTGAGTTGGTGCAAAAGGTGAAGCCGAAGGGGGCAGCTGTTTTAGCTTAAAAGGCTCAAAAGGCTCAAAAGGCTTCATGGCAAGCTGTCGGTGTCTTTCTTTTTTGCCCTTTCCTACGAAAGTACGAACAAAGAACAAAAATCACATACAATGCCCTCAGTTCTACGCTAAGCTACAAAACCCCAACCTCCTTACGTCACCCCTAAAGCGCGAATGCAACGCGTGAGCTCACTTTCCCTCCTTATTAAATTCCAGGACGGCGACGTTTTGTCCACTGGCAGATTGCTTGTCAGCCTCAGCCCTCCCAAAATTCCAGTGTCCACATAAACCCAATACAGCACAACGCACATAACATTTAGTGTATCTATTTAGGGTTCCTCATTTTTCGGTGTGCTCAAATTATTTGGAATTTAATGTTTAACTACTTGTTGTGACAATCCCTCGTGAACTTTAGAAACTACATTGGTAAAAAAGTAAAAACAAAAACAAAAAGATTTTTATTATTTTGGTAAAAATAATGTGAAAGGTGGTTTAGATTAAATGGCCTCCAAACATGGTTGTTCGAAAGGTTTAATGATTATATTATGTTGTCTATATTTAGTATGATGTTATTTTAATAATCGATCATGTGATCAGCAAATAAGAACGACTCTGATACGAACTTTCATTTTGATAAATTATACTAATTTTGAGTTAAATATACGAAATTAATAGCAACAATTGAATTTTGCAAATTATGAAGAGACAAGACAAATGGAATTAGAAAAGAACCTTCAACCTTTTTGAAGCATGAAAGTTATCAAACAAGATTACTATTTGGTTAATTATTGTATGTATGCCCGGACTTTTTCATGCTTTTCTAGAACGTCCTCTTTATATTTACCAATTACTGTTCAACACACAGTTGGAAAACGATACACCAACTTTTGATGTGTGTTTTTTTATATATAATTAATTTAGTATTTTGGAGGTAAAGTAAAATAAAAATAAAAATATTTACGAGGCTTAAAGATTTAGCAAAAAGAAGGGGCCAGTGGAGTTGTCATTAGGGTTATATCCCTCCCCTTTACTTTAGGAATAAGTTTTCATCTAAATTTCCATGTGAAAAAGTGACAATTGTGCCTTTATAATGATAACGAAAACTGAGAAATGAAGAATGAAAATGAAATTTCTTGGTCCGAATAATCATTTTAATAAGAAAATGAAGAAGAAACACAATATGTGATTTCCATTTGACATTGTCTGAGTATGGTGTAGGAATGGGACATTGAAACTGTTTTATTGTGCCGTTTTTGGTGAATTAAGTAATGGTCAAATTGCATCAGTTTACCACATTTGGTAACACAAAAACAACAGATTTCATGGCTTCCATTTCAGATTGGAATTAGTTCAGTCGCTTGCGCGCACATGAGCAACCTCAAAGCACCATCGATCAAGAATCACTCATACTCGTGTGGACAACTGACCACATCACTACTCTTGATTCTTGGTTTCAGCCTTTAGCTGTCTTCTATGTGTAACATGTTTTGATATTTTCTTCATGCACTTAAGATCTTGTGTTCAAATCTCCCCTCCCCAATAACACTTGTATAAAATATCTCTTCATGAAATGAAATTTTTCACTAAAAAGAAACATATGGCATTTCCAAAGCGAAACTAGGACACACTGAAGCAAAGCCAAAAAGCCCTTTTGTTCCATATTTGAGAATTTAAATTTGACTATCATCTGGGATATGTTGTATAGCTTAAGACCACTCACAGCTTCTTAAAGCCCAGGACAGGGAGGGTAGGAACTAATATGAGACATGAGTAGGAAAATGCTAATGCTGAATTTACACCTTTTTTAGTAGTTGGTACTTATGCTGCTAAACGATGTGATCAAGTTGAGTAGTTGCCAGATTCACAATTTAACAAGAGAACATGACTCCAATTCAATAGGAGAACATAAAAAGCATTTTCGTACCTTAACCAAAGGGTTGTGTAGATTTTAGTTTTATTTAGAGAGGGAAAGCAAAAAAATCTCAGATAATTTTTTGTTAAGTTTATCCTAAATGTTCAATGGCAAATAGCTGGTCCTGATACGAGTGTTAACTGAAATTTCAGTGCCCGATTGATATCTACCGGGAAGTACACTCAGAATGGCTTCCATTACATTTCTCCTCCTCAGTATCCATAATAAATCAGTGCCATTACAAGAGCATTCAGACATGTTTAAGGTTACATATAAACATATTCACATAAATATACCCATTTATAAATGTCTGTCCAGATGGAAGCTCTTCTGACAAGACCTCTTCTTTATTTGAATTCAGACCACAATCACGATAATTTCACATACTCAAATACTTAAAACTCCGGCCTGAAGCGCAAAGCATCTCATCCTCAGCATGCCATGTCCCGTGAAATGGCTAACTTGGATCAACCTGAAAAGGTGTAAAAGTAAATCAAGCAAAAAGATTCGAAATTTCAAACACTAAATACCGCTTCATCGATTTAAGGTCCCATGAAAAGTTGATGGAGTGGTTTACTTTGATAACAGAATAATAAAAATTGAAACCAACATCACTACTCACCTTAAATTATGAAATGCTGACGACAGATGCATTGCTGAAACAATTAATAACAGATCAATTTGAAGCAGAACCTGCGGGACAAGTAGTACCAGGCCTATTGTTGTCACTCAAACGGTTTTCTCCATGAATCTCTGCACTGTTTGGGTTGCTCTGATCTGCAGCAGAACCATCTGCCGTATGATTTGCTACAGAAGCCTCGGGGGCTCTACTATTATCTTTGGTTTCAAGGCGTTCCATCATACGTGATACAGTGGCGATTCCAGCATTGACCTCTCTACGAACTTCAGAACTGAGTTCTGACATAGAAGTGCTACGTGAGAATAGCCTATCCTTCCATCCTCTTGTACTCCTTGAAAAAGACTCCTTGTACCTTTACAGCAATTGAAAATGGTAAAAGAGCAAATCTACAGGTACGCACAGATACACACAGATTAAGCTAGTCAGATGATGTCCAAAATAGAAGAGTGGTTACATCATGTACCATACCTCATTGACATGGAATTAAACTTAGATTTCAGAGACTCTGAAATGGACTGAAGGTCTGATGGTCCTGCTCGGTCCTGATTCAATGGAGAGGATTGACTAGTAGAGTTCCTACAAAAAGATACTAAATAGTCATAAAAATACCTAGCACACCAGTGCATACCACAAAACTGATCTGCACAATCACACAAATGCAACATAAGAAAATGATTACTACCAGTGACTGGGGGAAAGTCCTTGACGATTTCTGTGCATGCGTACAGACCCAGATGCTGAGGGAGAAATTCCATCAGTCTGAACAGAAGGAAATTGAGCACTCCTTCGTGATGATTCATCCCCATCTGATGCAAGTGGGGTAGATGGACTTGCTACAGTTATTTCAGCAGGTTCACTGTCCCCTCCTGGGGCCGAAACAGGACCAAGAGGAGATGCACTAGGATGAGTAGAAAACACTGTGGATGGCCACGAGCAGATGACCGGCTCCTCTGGCCTTCCCTTCTACCATTGTGGTGGGCCCTTCCCATGGAAGCAGCGGCTGCCAAGTGCTGGATTATACGCTCTTCAAGTTCAGCATTGTTAGTACCCACAGGTAACTGCATTGCATTGCATAAACACATTAAATAACATGATCGCAAAATCTTAAAATTTATAGTTTTAATTTCTTCAATTCTTTTTTTTTTTTTTTGGAGAGCCAACATTTGATCCAGGCCTTGCAGTGTTTTAAAGAACCCAAGAATTTTTTCTTTTTTTGGTCGAAAAAGGAGATGAAAGATAGATGTTAGACATGCTGAAATTCAAAATCGCCAAGGGTGGGATGATGAAATATAGTTGCATTTCTTGATGTATTCCTAAAGCTCCTCTCCCGTTCAACTGCCTCAAGTAACTCTTGACTGCCAAAATATGCATCAGAGTTAACTCCAGGTAAATAATTACGACACATGTAAAATTAAATAATGGCAAAACGAACCTGCAAGGATCCTTTTAACTCCAGGTAAATAATTACGACACATGTAAAATTAAATAATGGCAAAACGAACCTGCAAGGATCCTTCAAGCTAATGGACTGCCAACACATGGGGCACTGAGAGCTTCTCTGGCACCTATATGTATATGTATAACCTTGTTAGATTTTAATAGCATTGTGCCTTTTCCCAAATAACATTATAAAGTGAACAGAACTGTGCAGATAATTTACTCCAAATTTAAAAAGTTATTGATGAACTAAGGATTCTTTGTAAATGCATGTGGAAAAAGTGTGTGAACATGTGTGTTTGGGGAGAGGGAGAGAGTACTAAAAAACTAAAAGGTTGAAACACGGACGTTCTCATAAAACCAAGAAAGACTGTAAAGTAAACAGAAAAAAAAAACAATTAAGTGGATCTCTCATAAGCAGATGAAATCCAAAATAATATCTTCAAGAAGTCCCTACTTTAAATTTATCAGCTAAGTCACTGGACCCCTTTAATAAAGAGTGGCGCAATTGCCAGTGCCGCCCATAAATCAAATTGTGGTGCAAACCATAAAAAAAAAAATTACTGCTTGGTGGAAAACTCTGGCCTCCCATGGAAGTCAGCAACATACTAGCTTAAATAAGTGTAAATAAAAGATTAATTACAAATCAATAAAATTAAAATGATAATTGATTTTTATTATAAAATATAATTACTTAACAGAAAAATAAAGAATGATTAAATATTTCGAAATTTAGTATGGTAATACCATTCAAGGATGCAGTGGAGGTGAAACTCATGCTTGCAAGTAGTCACCTGCAAGGCAAGGCACAAAATGGAATTGAAGGTACATCTATATAATAATATAAACACATTAAGACAATGTGTAAGATTCTCATGCATGAGCAGGAAAAAAAAAAGGGGAATGTATCGTCTGATATGTTACCACTGAAGGATCACTTTCACAAAACTCCTCAAGGCATATGCTGCAGGCCTCAGCACAGGCCTCTTGTATTCCCCCTTCCACAAATGCAGCAGCTGATATCATATGACTTTCAGTCTTCTTTGCCTCCATATCTGGAACCTTTTGACACACAAAATACAATATCAATATTGACCAGTAGAGTACCGGGTTCATGAAAAGCAGCATAAGTAAACCCCAAACACAGTAAGCATCCATTCTCAAAGTGTTGATCAATCTCAGTCCTAAACTTATGAGAAGTAACATAAGTAACAGTTGGGGTGGGCACGATCCGGTTTGGTCTGGTTTTCACCTAGAACCGAAACCGAAAAATCTATATGATTCAGTTCAATTATGAACAAAAAATCTGAGTCCAATTATTATTTTTTGTTTCTTTGGGCTTCAAGAAGAGTTGAGTCAACAAAATGAATTTAATCTAAACTTTTCCTTGATTTTCTCAGTAACCAAACAAAAACTAAACCATGTTTCAATACCAAACTTTCCTGAACCCTTTCTCTACTCCATTTTCATATCAACTAAACAATAAATAAACCATATACAAGAAGTACAACCATGACTAAGACACCAGCACTGTGTTCTCCAGTGGAAGGCCACTGACAACGAAAGATCCAAGAGCCATCAGCACTGTGACTTGCGTGGAGAGAGAGAGAGAGAGAGAGAGAGAGAGAGAGAGAGAGCGTGGACAGATGAGGAGAGGGAGAGATACAAAAGAGAGGCTGAGAGATGTTCAAAATGAAAAAAAACGCGACCAGTTCTATTCCAACAGTACAGAACTGGTGCAGAAACCAAACAGAATTAGTTGACTTTTTTAGTCAACACAGTTTTTTAAAAAAAAAAAAAATTTGACTAGGTTTACCGGTTCTTCGGTTCCAGTGCCCACCCCTAACTAACAGACTTACAGCCGAATGCTAAGAGCATCTCCAAGGGAAGAGGCAAATGAAATAGGCAAAATTGTACTATAACAACCTAGGTGGCATGTTGCCTACCCATTTGCCTCATGAAAAAAGTTGGTCACTCCAAGGGACTAGGCAATGCAAGCCTACAAACCATTATTACATTATTTATTTTTATCTTTACATTTACTATTATATTTTATAGAAAGTAGGTGAGAGAGTGGAGACGGTATTTTATTATAAAAAGCAATGGGGTCCAAAATACCTCTTCACTTTGGAGTAGGCAATATTGCCTTGTTGGGGAGAGTAGGTATATTTCACCTACCCATTTGCCTCTTCCCTTGGTGCATGAAAATGCTGATGTGGAAAGGCAAATGAGGTTTGCCTACTCTTTTGCCTCTTCCCTTGGGGATGCTCTAAGCTAACAAATTCTCATGAATAGCCAAAATTATAAACCCCAGCTCAGTGAACCTTAACCAACTATCTGAAGCTGGTGACACGAACTCTCAAGGCTTACGCTATGTAGCTCTATATGGAACCACATCCACCGTTAATTTTTTAGGTATCATTTCTTAGCTTACCACTATAACCACCTCCTTTCTAGCCTTCCAATAGTTCTTTTTCCTATATGTTGAAAACAACACATTCAAGAGATAAATCTAAAAAGGTAACATTTCTTAAAATGACAAATTATATTCTCTGAAACCTTGAGATTGGAGAAGTTCACAAACTGTATTATCAACATCACAAATCAAAATCACTTATTTTCTTTCTTCCCTTTTTTTCTTTTTGATAGAAAAGTGATTTTTTTTCTCAAAGAAATTGAACTGATAGGTGAAGGTTTATATATATTTCAGAAACCTTCAAATGTCTCATGTAGGGTGCAGAATTCAAACAGCTAAACTATATCTTTTACAGCTGTATCAGAGATTAACAACAGCTCTGGGAGGTCCTGCACCAAAGTAACTCCAAAAGAGTAGGAAAACATTACAAATTGCCTGTAGATATTTCACAAATTAAACAAACTCTAACACATCCACGTGGTAGTTTAGTACGTAAATTAAAGCAAGCTTTTAGCTTTGTGCCCACCAGCAGAAAAACTTCCTATGGCAATTACCATCATTTCTAACTCAGAACCAATTTCATATTAAAACTCCTTCAGACAGTATAACATTTTACGTCAAGTACATATGCTTACCGGGTGAAAAAGAAAGAAAGAAATCTGAACACTGAAATCAAAGCAACAACATACTTGAAAAACATCAAGTTTCAATCCTACATGAAAACAAAATCAAAACTTTAATCAAATTCCAAATGAAAAAAAAATTGATGGGTTTACCTCCATTTAAGGGGATTGGAGATGGGTAGTCAAGAAATTCAGAGAAGAACGGCCATGAAATTCAGAGAAGCATCGTGTTCTCCGGTGGAAGGCCAAATTTCGTGTTCTCCGGTGGAAGGCCAAATTTCGTGTTCTCCAGTGGAAGGCCAAATTTCGTGTTCTGTAGTGGAAGACCGCCGACAACGAAAGACCCAAGAGCCACCAGCACCGTGACGAGCGTGGGGAGAGACAGAGACAGAGAGACAGAGAGAGAGACAGAGAGACAGACAGACAGATAGATAGATAGATAGGAAGGAGGGAGGAGAGAGACAACCCAGAGAGGAGGAGGGAGGAGAGAGACACACAGATGAGAAGACGGAAAGGTAGAGGAGAGAGAGCGTGGACGGTACAGGAGAGAGATGCTGGGGACAACCAACCCTAGCGTTGGAAGGAAATTGTAACTGGTTTTGGTTGCGTGCGGCCGGTTCTATTCCAAGAATAGAACAGGTGCAGCAACCAATCGGTTCGGTCCGGTTCAGTTTTCGAACCTCAGTTAACTTTTGTAGTCAACACAGTTTTTTTCAACTCGGTTTGACTCAGTTTATCGGTTACTCTTTAGAGCATCCGCAATGATTGTTCAATAATTCAATGCAATAGTTCAAATTGATCTTTTTTGGCATCTATTGAATTGAACTCCAATTTTATTTACAATGGTACAATTCAATAGCTTCAGATCAATAGTTATATTTACTTACATGTTTTTTTACATACTCAAATAAAATAAAAGGAATAAATTTAATAACATTAAAAATTGTATTATTGAAATATTCTCAAAAAGATCTTTAAAAAAAGACAAATTTTGAATATATTTGTAAAAAAAATAAAAAATTATTGTAGTTTTTCTTTTGTATTGAACTATTGAACAACCATTGCAGATACTCTTGACAACATAATGCATTAATTGCTGTAATTTTTCTACTTTTTATTGGCATGCAGGTCCCATGGTTAGCCTATTGTAATTGCAATAGAGGGTTCATCACAGAGCACCCTCTATTACAATTGCATCTATTGCAATGAACTAAATCACACCATTACAAGTGATATTTTACTGTTTTAGTTCAATATCATATAATAAAATTGCATTGATTCTAACCATTATGGATGCTCTTATCAGACTTGCAGTCGAAGGCCAAGGCTAACAAATTCTCATGAATAACATGAGAATTTTGGAAAATCATTACTTCTAACTCACAACCAATTTCATATCAAAACTCCTCCACACAGCATAACATTTTACATCAAGTGCATAAATATCATCATTCAAATTCATATTCATATTCATCCATCCATTATATCCATTCGTCCATTTGCATATTCTTACATAACCCAGATGAAAAAAATGATCTTAAATAATCAAATCAAAGCCAAAACACAAATGAAAACAATAAAATTTCAATCCCACAAAGAAAAAAAAAAAAACTTTAATCAAATTCCAAATAAAAGATTGATGGGTTTACCTCCATTGAGGGGATTAGAGATGGTAGCCCAGAAATTCAGAGAAGAACGGCCATGAAATGCAGCAGATCGAGCTCTGAATTTCCCAACCAGAGAACCCTGCTACAGATTCATGGCAGCCTAGAATTCAATGGTGCACAATGATTAATGGTCAAAAAAGATAAGAGAAAATGAGGAGGGAGATATATAGTTGAATTAATGGTGCACAAATACTACATGTCCACCTCCTCCCTTACCTTTAATTATGGGTGTGTTTTGTTTTTGGCCTCTGTTAGTTTTTGTCTCGAGCAAATTCTGGTTTATATTGCTGTGTTTTCACCAAAAGCACAACAGTTTCATTAAATTACGGAAAGTGCTTCAACATTTTCAAATGAATATATACTAACGCTACATGCACCAACTTGTTAACCGATTTATTGATACCGACACATCTGGCAAATAACATTGCCACTATGTTTCAATAACACATTCATTTCACCTAATTATATGCTAAAATAATAAGATTATGCAACTAATTTTCTATATAAAAATATAACCCATTTGTGTGCCTTCCCACTTTTGGGTTTTTTCCTTTATTTGTTTTGTCTTCTGTTGTTCGTTGGAAAACAGAGCAAACCCACAACCACGACATCACAGAACAGAACAGACAGGGGAGGCCTCAAAGAGTCAACAGTCTCGGCTCATCCTTTGATTCACTTCACACCCTTTGGATCTTATCTTTATGGGTCTTTTACAATCAAGTATTGTGCTGATTCTTTTGTTTAGATTTTAAATACAGACCTAGCCTTAAAGGTAATCAAGTTCCGTTCACAAAGGCATAGAAACAAAAAACAAAAAGAAATCTCATAAAAATTAAAAAAAAAAAGTCCTCTAATTATCTAGAACATGATGGCCAAATGCATACTTGATGGTTGGTTGGTATGAGGAAAATAATTGATATATGCTCATCCATGACGTTGTTGTAGTTTTGTATCATCTTTACCATAATTACAATAAAGAAAACTGATGGTTTTGGTTAGCAGAAAAAAGCACGCTCATGTGCACCTTTCTATTTTTTGAGCATCTTACATCTTTTTCAAGTACACTTATGCTGCACGCTTTTAAGTGACTCTCCGGACTAGTCCTTGTCTCTCCTTGACCCCTTATTAGCATCCACAAAGACGATCTAAGAAATTTTATTGAACAATAACAAAAACTCTTCTAGATAATCAAAATAGGCCAAACCCTAATGATCTTTTGGCATATATTTGTGGAGAAATTATTGTAAGATGACTGTGTTGTAAACACTATTGTTATGTAATGTTACTGATACATATGTTAAAATATGAGTAGATGCCGAGTACAGTATTAAAAAGATGTATATGTTTTATAACATAATAGATCGATAAAACTATGTTATTATGTTAAAAGTAAGTATCTCTCTCCTATGTGAGAGTTTCCTTTCTCCTTGTGAGAGTATTTTTTTTGTTGTTCTTGTTGTTCATGGTTGTTTGCTTTTCCAACTTTTGGCTCATATATCCTTCCTTATTCCATATGCATCTCTTCTCCCACTTCACTTCATCCATCTCACCTCTCTCACATCCTTCTCTTTCTCCTCTCCTCCATCACCCACACATCAGTTCCTTCCTCTCCCCCCTCCCATGAGATCGGAAACGCTAAAATCTTTCTCTTTTCCTATGATTTTCTTGGTCGTCTAATGACTTGATGCAAATGCTTCTCCCCTACAACCCATCCTCGCTTTTGCTATGGAAGTGTGGGCTTTGTAACTTATGGGTCAATTTTGACCCCCACTTTGATCGCCTGAGTAAGATGACTATTGGTGGCTTGCTCACTCAACCCATGCCCTACATAATGCAAATCCCATTTGTTGGTTCCTCTGGACCTTCTTCTATGGCGACAGTGGCGACTTATTGTTTGTAGAATATGATTCTAGGGTTTATGTATTTTTTTAGTTTGTTTGTTGTTTTGGGCTTGTATTTTGTACTTGGACTTGTGCTTTTATTTTTTTAATTATTTTTTTAGCCCTTATTTTTCTTTTTATGACTTTGTATTAGGCTTTTTGTAATCTCTGTTTGATAATGACATGTTCATTCTTTCGATAAAAAAAAATACATGACTATGTTACGATCCGGAAATATTTCCCTTCTTTTTACATATTAGAACATTTTACTAACATGAGGACAAAACTTAGGAGGCCTCCTGTAACCTCTACCTAATATTAGTTAGTAATAGTAAAAATTTAGAAGAGAAAGGCAACTATCATGATGTTGGTTACAATTTGTTATCAATAATAGAAAAGCCACGTACTATACAGTCAAGGGAACCAAATCCTCTAAGAGAACCCCACCAAATTAATGAGTTTGTTTATGGCAGCTTTACCATTCTTGTACTAGGCTATCCAGAGCCGGTCCATTGATTTTGGGGGCCCTGTGCAAATATGGATGTCGAGGCCCTACATATATACAAGTAGGAAAAAAAAATCCATATAGAAACAAAATTTTCTGACACGGGAGGAACACCTTCGGAAAGAGCTTCCCAGAATTTTTTTTTTAGTCACTCTTCCAAATCACAGAGCTAATAAATTGATTTCCAATTTCAATGCTCGGTGAATTCTCATGTGAATGAGGGAGGGAGAAAAGAACTGTGATTTTGGGGAAAGGGCTAAAGCTTGGGTTTTTACAATCCAAAATTTGATGGAAGAGGGTGGTACACTGGTACTGAAGAGAAAGGGATGATTTATTTTGACGGAGGAGAGAGAGAGACTCACTAAAAGAGAAAAGAATATTATAATGGTTTTGCAGCGCAAGAGTTGGGAAGAGGAAAACACAGGTTTCAAACCATAATAAATAAATAAAAAGAAGAGTTGCAGCGTGAGAGTTGGGAAGAGGAAAACGAATTAAATTAGGGTCTCTACTCTCTAAGTTGTGGAGGTTGTTGATAATTAATATTCAATTCAATTTTGGTTTTGGTTTTGGGGCCTTGCATGTGGCGTTGTGGGGTGATATTTAATATTTTATTTTTATTTTCATGTTTTAATTAATTGAATGCGTTGACTCGGAAAAATTTGGGGCCCTTAAATTTTGGGGGCCCTGTGCGGTCGCACACCTCGCACACCCCATGGGCCGCCTCTGAGGCTATCAATGACCATATAATGGGATAAACTTGGCATGCCAAAAAGGATTTCTCATAGTTGAAAGTATAATTTTCCATAAAATTCAATAGAAAAGCCACGTACTATACAGTCAAGGGAACCAAATCCTCTAAGAGAACCCCACCAAATTAATGAGTTTGTTTATGGCAGCTTTACCATTCTTGTACTAGGCTATCAATGACCATATAATGGGATAAACTTGGCATGCCAAAAAGGATTTCTCATAGTTGAAAGTATAATTTTCCATAAAATTCGGTTGAATAGGTGAAAGCGGTTTTTAGGATTATAAAAAAAAACGTTTTCTAGTGAAGTACCTAGATGCTTTCCAAAGAATATTAATACAAGCGATATTGAAGAAGGGGATAATTGAACTTAGGACCTAGTAAAACTTTTTTTCTGACAAAATAGTTGATGAGCAAAGCGCTTCATATAGAAGAACTCTCAAACATTGCCCTAATGCCATAATTGAGCTTGTTTATGACCTCTAGTTTAGAACTAGTTAAAGCTCTTGGAATTTTATTTTGTTTTTGTTTTGGTGAACAAGACGTTCGAGTTGTTATTACTGTTAGTTAATAGAGCAGGGAAAACAGAAAGCTGTATAGGGAAAAAGAAGAACAACAAAAAAAGTCAGTGGTAGAATGCTTCATCTGGACAATTTCCAAATCAAAATCCTTTTTTTTTTAAAGCACATTGCTTATTGCTTTTCCTATAGTTAACCCATAATTTAATTTTGAAAAACATGCATAATTTTAACAGAGTTTTTAAGCTCACAGACTGACAGAGAAAACCAATCAATTTTGGTGTTCTGGATTTGTGTGGATGAGGCCGAATG